TAGGCCCACGGGCCCCGACACCCGAGATCCGGGCGTTGCAGGTGTTTCGCACGGCGCTACTCGGTCCTGCTTCGAGCCCCGGGGGCCATGGACTATCGACAAGCTGTGCAAATGAAGCTGACATATGGGTTCTTTGGCTCTGGTCCTGACATGTGGGGTCTTTGGCTTTGGCTCCTCTGTTCCGCAACGTTGGATTTCAGGGACCGCCCACGCTTTGGACGAGACTCCCCGGCGAGAGCGTGTGCAATGCCTGCCCTTGGGCCACGGTGGTTTCGTGTCGGGTCGACGCGGCAACTACCCCAGCGCGCGGTCGAGGTTGAACGCCGCCAGGGGCCCGACCATCACGGAACGATCTGGCGATCGAGTAGCCGCCAATCGTGTGACGCTGATCGATCCACGCGGTGTCACAATCGAGATCCACGCGGTGTCAGGAGCCACCGCCGAAACCTTCAGGACACGAACCTGCCGTATCCACCCCATGTTGCTTCCGCCAGCGAGAGCACGGGCTACTATTGCGCGCCGGCGTCCGCGCTCGCGGCGCTGCGGTTTTTGGAACTGGCTGGCGCCTGGACGCAGCGGAGGATCCACGAGGAGGTGCTGGTTCCTCGAGGCCTCTTCACTAGCGGCGTGAGCCTGGAGCACGGCGCCGCCATCTCGGGCAATGCCAGCGGGGGCGGGGCGGCCACCATTGATCAGGGGGCCGCCAGCTTTTCCGTGGAGTGACCGAGGGTCGGAGGGGAGGCGGAGGAGGAGGAGGAGGAGGAGGAGGAGGAGGAGGAGGAGGAGGAGGAGGAGGAGGAGGAGGAGGAGGAGAGTTAGGAGGAGGAGGAGGAGGAGTAGGAGGAGGAGGAGGGGGGAGGAGGAGGGGGAGGATGAGGAGGAAGAGGAGGAGGAGGGGGAGGAGGAAGAGGAGGACGAGGAAGAAAAGGAGGAAGAAGAGAAGGAGGAGGACGACGAGGAGGAGAGGAGGAGGAGGAGGAAGAGGAGGAGGAGGAGGAGCAGGCGGAGGAGCAGCAGGAGGAGGTGGATCAGTGAGTCGTTTTGTTCACGCTCTTGGGCGTTTCTGAAAGCCCTGGGGGATTTTATTCTGAACTGTCCACGGGAGGGCCCGCGATACTCGGGGAGGCTGCGGCCCCTCTCGGTGGGAGCCCACCCTCTGGCACTGCCCGGGCCCATGGTGCGCGCGCTCGGCGACGGCAAGGTGGCCGTGGAGGAGCGCTGCTCGAGGGACGCGGAGGCGCTGGCGCACGCCCTGCGGCGGGACCTGGCCTGCGCCTTCGAGGACGGGGACGAGATTTGCCTGCTGGTGAACTACCTCAGGCCCGGCGGGGGCGGCCACTGGAGCCCGCTGGGCGGGTACGCCGAGGACCGCGTCCTGATCCTGGACACCAACAGCCAGAGGCACCCGCCGCACTGGGTGCCGTGCGCGGCGCTGGTAGATGCGATGTGCTGCAACAACCCCAGGACGGGGCGGCCTCGCGGCTACCTGGCGCTCCAGCGCGAGGAGGCCCGCCGGCCAGGCGAGGGCTGCTGAGCGCGGGCCGGTGCCTCGGCTGGTGGCCGTGTACCCAGCATCAGGGGCGCCGCAGCAGAGGTCGGCGCTTACCAGGGGTCAGCCTATCCGTCTCCTCTGGCGGGCTCCAGGTTTTGGAGCCACGTGGAGCCGATCTGCCCTGTCCCCGCTCTGCTGACCTGGACTTCAGGGAGCACAGCTTCGCGGCGGGCCTGGGCTCGCCACGTGGGCCTGGCCTGTCCGGGTGCGCGCGGACCCGGGCCAGCGCGTCCCGGAAGAGTGGCCAGAGAGACCTGCGATCACGAGTGGATCTCGGGGACGCGGAAGTCGACGTCCATCCCGCCGTGCCCCAGAGTGCCCTGGCGCCCCCATGGACTCCGACGGCCATCGGTGCCCCCATGCACGCACCAGGGGAGGTTCGTTGGCCCGCCTGGCGAGCAACCAAAATCTCTCCTCCCCATATGATGGGCCTGTTTTCCACCACCACCACCATAAGTTGAAGGGGGGAAGGAGGTGGAGGAGGAGGAGGAATAGGAGGAGGAGGAGGAGGAGGAGGAGGACGAGGAGGAGGAGGAGGAGGAGGAGGAGGAGGAGGAGAAGGCGGACCCCCTCCCCCTCCTACTGACGGTGGTGGTAGTGGGGGAGCACGAGTCCATCACCGTACCCTGCTTCCGATGTCGTGCCGCCCACGGCGCGGGCCTCCGGAGCGGAGCCCGCGGCCCCCGCCTCTGGGATCTCACTCTCTCCGCGGCGGTCGCTCCTCGACGGCCCCAGCAGGGCCCGCAGGCGGCCCAGCGGCCTAGGCCCAGGGCGACCGCCGTTTTTTGTATTCAATGTGTTTGTTGTTGTTTTTGTTAATCATTTTAGTTAGCTTTAGTTTTTTTGTGTTTTCTGTGTTTCCTCGTGATATCTTTATATACACGGTTGGGTCGGGCATGTCCCCTTACAGGCGCATTTAGGACGAAACAGCAAAACGATGCAAACCATATTCAAGAACAGCCAAAACATCAGTGACAAGTCGTCCCCCGATGTTGTTGACTACTTGTGAAGTATCCTCCTGTAAAGGGACATGCCGACATGCCCGACCTGAAAATATACGGGGCGCTTGGATGTCGGCGTCCCCAGGAGGCCGCCGGAGGTCTGCCCAGCTCCTTTTGTAGGGGCCCCGGGAGGCCCCTGGAGGATCCTGGAGGCTCGCGGAGGCCCGACTGGAGACCCAGACAGGGTTCAAAGCATCCGAGAACCTTGATCCCCGATCCTCCTCGATCCTTGAATCAACCTCCTCCTCCTCCTCCTCCTTGAACCTTCTCCTTCTCTTCCTCGATCTGTAACCTCCTCCTCCTCTTCCATCTCCTCCTCCTCCTCCTCCTCCTCCTCGGGCTTCAGATTCGATCCCTGGACCTGTCGGGCGATGCGTTCCAGCAACGCTGTCAAGGCATGTCTAGCCGTGGCGACGAGGTCGCCCTCGGAGGGACAAACATGCACCTGAAACAGTACAGAGTCGCGACACCAGGCATCCGAAGATGTGTGTTTCTTGAATCCGCGGCAGCAGAGGTCCCGACCCATTCTTCCATGTTGAAGGTTTTCATGCCGGATCCATCTTTAGAGTCCTGAGGCCCCGAAAATCGGGGCCCCCAAACGGTGTGGTGACCGCACCGTGTGGTGAGTCGGTGGGGATTCGGGGTCACTGCACGGTTTTGGGACTCGAGTCCCTCTCCGAGGATGTCTCGGGCGACAGGGGCCTCCCGGGTCCCAAAACCGTGCGTTGACGGACCGTGCGGTGAGGTCTTGGGGGATTTCGAGGTCACCGCACGGTCTGTCACCGCACCGTCTCGAGACTCCAAAGAATATGGGCCCATAGGAAGGGGGGAGGGGGTCCTTCTGCTCCTCCACTTCTCTTCTTCCTCCTCTTCCTCCACCTCCTTCCCCCCTTCAACTTCTGGTGGTGGTGGAAGACAAGCCCATCATTCGAGGATCGTGTCAGCGTCCCTCGCGCAGGACCGTGGTGACCGCGACGCGCCGCAGGGGCGTGCCGACGGCCCTCCGTCGCGGGTGATCCACGTCGACCCGAACCACCTCGGCATGCTGATCGGCGCGCCTCCCGAGGGGGGGGGGGCGTCGAGCGGCGACCATGCCTTCCTCCCCCCCTTCCCCTCCCCTGCCCTCCCCTTCCTGCCTCCCTTCCTCCCTGCCTCCCTTCCTCCCCTTCCTGCTCCTCCCCCTCCTCCCCCTTCCCCTCCCTCGTGCCCCTCTTCTCCCCTGGCGTCCCTCCCTGCCTCGCGTCCCCTCCTGCGTCCTCTGCTTCCTCGTCCCTACGCCTCCGTCCTCCGTAATCTGCCATTTTGGCTCAAGGATCGGCTTGAAAATGCGCGCAGCACTTTTGTTTGCTTGTTTGTTTGTTTGTTTGGTTGATTGTTTGCGTGTTTGTGTGTGTGTGCGTGTGCACGAGCACGCCAGCATTTGCAATACACATATATATATATGTATATATATATATATGTCTACATATATCTGTGTGTATGTGTGTGTGCGTGTGTGTGTGTGTGTGTGTTCTGTTCGCCTCCTCCTATCTGGCCCCTCTCCTCTGCAGTGCTCACATGTCGGCCTGGCGGCTTGCGCCTGCGCTCCGCCGCTTCGGCGGCTCGCCCGGGGGCCATGCCTCTCTGTGGCCAGGCCCAGGCGCTGCCTTGGTGCGCCTGGCTCTCCTTCCCGCACCACTCGCCCTGTCCCGCACCTGCGCCCGGCCCATCCCATTTTTGTTTCTGACGACCGGCGAGCAGATCGGTATCTTCGCCCTCGCGGGGCCTTGATCCGGGGGCGCGATCCCGCGGCTACGCGGTCTCACAGTTGCGTTCCGTGCGGAACATCCGCAACAACAAACGACCTGTATCCGCGGGGTAGCGGCCCAGGGGCTTGGCCCGCGAGGACGCGGATATGGATAATCGCTCGGACTCATGCGTTTTTTCTCGGCGAGGATCATGAGGAGCATCCTGGATCCTCTAGCAACAGAGGAGAAAACGCGAAATCGACGTCTGAGCGATGGTAAGGATATGTTTCTCGCCCACGGGTTTCTGGGAAGGAGGAGGAGGCGGAGGAGTAGGCGGATGAGGAGGAGGAGGAGGACAAGGAGGAGGGGGAGGGGGAGGAGGGGGAGGAGGAGTAGGGGATGGAGGAGTCGGGAGGAGGAGGGGGAGGAGGACGAGGAGGAGGAGGAGGAGGAGGAGGAGGAGGAGGAGGAGGAGGCCCCCGCACGCTGCGCTGGCTCCGTTCGGCTCCAGCTGCGTTTTTTTTGTCCCTGTCTCTCCTGGCGCTGCTCGACAGCCTCCCGCCCCGTTGGCCCCCCAGCGCCCTGCCCTCCCCCCCCATCGATCCCGTGCGCCTCGGCGAGAACAGCTCTCGTTCCGATGCCCCTTCAGGCTGATGGGCCAATTTTCCACCACCACTACCATAGGTATGATGGGGGAAAAAGGAGGATGGGGAGGTCCTCCCCTCGTCCTCTTCCTCCTCCTCCTCCTCCTTCCCTTACCTATGGTAGTGGTGGTGGAAAATCGGCCCATCAGCGGCGGCGCTCCGGGGGGGGGGGGGGGCGAGAGGGGGCCAGCCTCCTCAGAAGGCTCGCAAGGCCTCCAGCCTTCCCAGGAGTTCTCTTCTGAGCCTTCCCCGAAGACGCTGCGGAGCCTTCCCAGGAGGCGCGGCGGCTCCGTGGGGGACTCGGGGGGGGCCTCTCGGGGCAGCGATGGGCGCCCTCTGGGCGGCCCTGGCGGCCCTCCTTCCCGGGCCGTCTCGGACGCCTCCGAGGGCCTCGGGGAGCCCCCGAGGGGCGCCGCGCCGCCCAGGGAGCCTCAGGGGCGGGGGGGAGTCGCGCAAGCAGGTTTGGCCACGCGAAGAGGGGGGTGTAGCGGGGAGGGGGGGGAGGCTTATGATCAAGCAGTGGCGAAGGGTCTTAGCTCGCCCATAGGCCCACCAAAGAGTGTTCAAAGAACTGTTTGTGGTCTGCTCGAATGTTCCTAGAACATTTCTGGCTTGAACTGTCTTGTTTTCATACCGGGTTTCTGCTCTAAGAGCCCGTTTTTTGGTCTTAGAACGTTTCTGGGTTCGTAGAACATTTCTTTGTAGGCCTATGGGAATGCCGGGACGGTCGGTCCCTGCTCAGTATCAGGAGCGTCTTTGCTTCTCGTGTGGCGTGGCCCCCATCTGTCGATGTGTAAGGCGGGCGTCTTCTAAGAAGCAGCCTCCTTTCAAGAAGCCGGCCCCTCTCCCCCTACTCCCTCGTGCGCGCATGGGGGGGACCCTGGGCGTCTCAGAGAAATATATGGTCATCTTCGCCCACAGTGGCGAGTCTGCTGCTCGCGTAAGGTCGCGCGCGAGCGCTCCGTTTTCGGTGTGGCGTGCCGCGCTGGCGGCCCGCGTACGCCACTGCGTAAGGTCGCTACGTCATCTCGCGTAAGGTCGCCCGCTCTTTTCCGTCGCCCACTCGGCATTCTGCCACGCCTCAACTTGCCAAGGGGTATATTGTGGCGGATTCACAGACATCCAGAACCGAAGGGACCCGATGATGCTCCTTCCACCGCCTCAGCACGGCGGCCGATGTGTGCATGGAGATGCGGAGGTGGTTGAAGATGGCGACAGGGTTGGGGGGTTGACGGAGGTGGAGGGTGGATGACAAGACGGTGAGACGCCGGCGTCCGACAGCGGGAGGGTTGAATCGGTGGCCGCAGCAGTGGTGGGCGTGTTTTCCGACACAACCACCATAAGTAGGAGGGGGAGGGGATTTTCCTCCTCTTCTTCTTCCTCCTCCCCCTCATCCTCCACCTCCTTTCCCCCTCCAACTTATATGGTGGTGGTAGTGGTGGTGGTGGTGGAAAACAGGCCCATCACAGCAGGACGACGAGGCAAGAGGGGGCACGGAGGTGCGTCATCGGGGGGGGGGAAGGGGCGAAGTTGCAATCGGAGCTCCGCCCGATGCCGTCTGTCCCTCGCGGGCCCTGCCAGGCAGAAAGGGTGAGACGATCAAGAACATGTCCGACAGCTCAGGACTGCTGGCCGCGCGCAGCAGTGCCGTCGTGCACCGCGGAGGAGGAGGAGGAGGAGGAGGAGGAGGAGGAGGAGGATGAGAGGGACCAGTGTAAACCCAAACCCAGGACCCATCAAACCCAGGACCCATCAGACCCTGGGACGTTGCCCATTCGAATCCTTGAAGCTCTTGCAAACTCGTAAGACGGATGTGCGCGGCGCTCAGGCAAGAGCCACATGTTGAAAAGGAGCCGCCCTCCATCCGTGAAGTTATTGCACACCGAGTGTGCGTGGCGCTCAGGTGAGAAACACATTTTGGAAACAGACCGCCCTTCATCCGTACACAACATACTCAAATTTTGAAGACGAATGTGCGCGGCGCTACGGCGAGAGCCACATTTCGACAGCGGGCCGCCCTCTGTCCGTGGAGCCCTGGCACATTCGAAGCTTCGGGATCATCAATGGTGACGAAGTTTCAGGCGAAACGCCCGGCCCGCGCTGTCGACTGGCCTCGGGGTGCGACAGGGAGGAGTCATCTATGAGGAGAAGGGAGGGAGGAGGAGGAGGAGGAGGAGGAGGAGGAGGAGGAGGAGGAGGAGGAGGAGGAGGAGGAGGAGGAGGAGGAGGAGTAACATGGCTACGATGGTTGGCAGCGCGCAAGAGGGAACGATCATAGGGGGGGTGCCTTCTAAGAGTGCCCCCCGCTTCTGAGCAGTCGCTTCTGAGAAGCTCATGGGCTGAGTATCCCTCTGGGGACTGAGCAGCTCATGGGGAGAGAAGCACCAGGGACTGAGCAGCTCATGGGCTGAGAACCCGTCCGCTTCTTAGAGGGGGCGCTAGGACGAGGAGGAGGAGGAGGAGCATGGGGAGGAAGAGGAAGACGAGACCGCTGTAGGGGGTGTGGCACTTTATGCGGGGCCTGTGATTCTTCACAGCTGCAGGTTGGTTAAATTTCCTGCCCCCCCGATCGGCAGGGGCGGGTTCCCTGCCTCCTCCACTCCCGTGATTGCTGGGTCGCGCATCTCTGATATCATATGATTCGTGTGGAATATGGTCGGACAGGTCTTGCGCCGCTTAACTGTTAAAACAAGGCACGGGCTCTACTCCCTGGACTATTGTGGCTTCGCTGTTGGTTCGATATGCTCCTAAGAACGAGGAGGACAAACACGATGATGAACACGGAGACAAGGAATCTGGCAATGCTATGAACAGAAGCAGCAAGGTGATGAGGATAGGAGAAGGACCACCCCCACCCCCAGTCCTGTCTCCCATGGTTAAGCAGGGGGTCCGGACTGGGCGTGGGGGCGTTTTCTCTACCCTTGGACCCCGAAGCCCCACCACCCCCGGTTTACGGGCTCGGGGATGGGGTTGGGACTGGAGGAGGGGTTGGGACTGGGGGAGGGGCAGAGGGCTTTGGCCTCCCCCCCCGTCCCCTTTTCTCTCCCGCCCCCCCCCCTCCCCCCGCTCCGCTGGGCGCGCCCCAGAGGAGCGCGCGTGGAGGTGTGCAAGGAGGACTCCGGGCATCAGCCCAGGCACGCGCCCGTCTCTCCGCCCGGGCGCTGGGGGCAGGGGCAGGGAGGCGGAGGGCCTCCCTCCTCCTCCCCTCCCCTGCTTCCCTCCCTCGCTTCTATCCTCCCCTCTCCTCCCTGCTCCTCCCTCCTCCTCCGCCTCCCTCTCCTCCTCCTCCCTTCCTCCTTTTCCCCTGCCTCCTCCTCCTCCTCCTCCTCTCCTCCTCCTCCTCCTCCTCCTCCTCTCCTCCTCCTCCTCCTCCTCTCCTCCTCCTCCTCCTCCCTCCTCCTCTCCTCCTCCTCCTCCTCTCCTCCTCCTCCCTCCTCCTCCCTCCTCCTCCTCCTCCTCCTCCTCCTCCTCCTCCTCCTCCTCCTCCTCCTCCTCCACCTCCCCCGTTTGTCCGTGTCCTCCTCCTCCTCCTCCTCCTCCGTGTTCTCCGTGCGCAGACGACATGTTTCGACATGCAGGTGCTCGCAATTGTTTGCAGCATGTATACGGCCAAGCGCTTCTTTACGATGGAAGGGTATGCTAGGGAGTCGTTGTACCCCACGGTGAGCATCCTTGCAGGGTGCCCTCGTGCCATGTTCCCCATGCAAGTGTACTTTTCGGCGCCGTGGAGGCAATGGACGGTAGGTGTCAAGAGCATGTCTCGGCGCATTGAGCCAAAAGGGCCTTGAAAAAAGCGCCTTGAACCAACAGCGCCTTGAGCCAATGGTTGCACAGGTAGGCCAAACTTCCGCTCACCTTCAACAAAGCAACCTCAGCCGCACCCTTCGTGGGCTCCATCCCAACCACCGTCGTGGGATTGTCCCGCTTGACGAGCTAATGCCGCTTGCTGGTTTCACTGATGCCTTGGACGGCGGTGTAGGAGGAGTAGTAGTAGGAAGAGGTGGAGGAGGGGGAGGAGTAGCAGGAGGAGGAGGACACGGAGAACGCGGAGGAGGAGGAGGAGGAGGGGGAGGAGGAGGCGGAGAACGAGGAGAACGAGGAGGAGGAGGAGGAGGAGGAGGAGGAGGAGGAGGAGGGGGAGCAGGAGGAGGAGCAGGAGCAGGAGGAGGAGGAGGAGCAGCAGCAGCAGCAGCAGCAGCAGCAGGAGCAGGGGGAGGAGGAGGAGCAGGAGGAAGGAGGAAGGAGCAGAAGGAGGAGGAGGAGGAGGAGGTGGAGGAGGCGGAGGAGGCGGAGGAGGAGGAGGAGGAGATGGAGGAGGAGGAGGAAGGGGGTCAGGTCAGGTGACAAAAAGCTCTAGCGCTGGTGTCCCCCCGATTTTGGTTCTATCGGGACTCAGGGGCCTCTTGCCCTCCTTCCTGAAATGCTTGCGCAGGAGGAGGATGCCTACTGCTCCCACTCCTCTCCCCACTTCCACTGCTCCCGATCCCCTGTGGAAAGGACGGAGATGAAGAGAGTGATGATGAGGAGGGGGAGGATGATGAGGACGATGATGAGGAGGAGGAGGAGAAGCTAGGGCGAGGTGAGCCGCTGATCGTCCGCAGAGCCGGCCCGCCCCGCGGCTGACAAGCCTATAGAGCTTATCTCTATGCTTACCATTGACATGCCGATGGCGGTGACAGTCTCGGGGACGTCCCCTCAGGAGCCGGGCGACTCCTCAGGTGATGCCACTTCTCAGGGACAGTGATCTGTTCAGGCCGGAAAGCCCACACGATCCCCAGTAGGTTCAGGCCATCGGGACCGGCTTTTCATCCCGTGTCGGTTTTTCGACGGCCCCGAGCACGGCGAGGCCCCCGAGAGGCAGTCCTGCCAATTACATTCCGGAGTGTTTTTTTCACGGTGCGAGAATGTCAGAGAGGGGCGGGTAATTGGCCTCCGCTTCAAATTTATACACAGATGCCCTCCGTTGAATTGTTTGGACCTCAGGGGAGTGCACGTGCATAAATCACCTCTGGAAGCCAGCGATTTCATACACCGCCGCCCTCCGTGAAGGTACATGCAACATTCGTCGGAGTCTGTGTATGCATACATATATACATACACACATGGCGTATGGCTGCCCTTCTCCACCGGGCGCGAGGGCCGTCACGATCACTGGGAGCCTGGAGGCCATTGACCGCGCCCAGGCGCGCGGCGTGCTCGCGGCAGCGCCGCCGCCTTCGCCGCGTCCGTCGCAGCCGCCGTCGTCCTCGTCGTCACGGTCGTCGTTGTCGTCGTCGTCGTCGTGGTTGTCGTCATGGTCGTCGTCGTCGTCGTTGTCGTGGTCGTCGTGGTCGTCGTGGTCGTCGTCGCCGCCTTCGTCGTCGTCGGCGTCGTCGTCGGTCGTCGTGGTGGTCTTCGTCGTCGTCACCGCCGTGCCGCCGCGCCATCGCCGCCGCCGCCGGCGCGGTCGCCGCCCCCGCCGCCGCCGTCGTCGTCGTCGTCGTCGTCGCCGCCGCCGTCGCCGCCGTCGTCATCGCCGCTGCCGTCGTCGTCGTTGTCGCCGTCGTCGTGGTCGTCGTCGTGGTCGTCGTCGTGGTCGTGCTCGTGGTCGTGGTCGTGATCGTCGTCGCCGCCGCAGTTGTCGTCTGGGAATGGGGACGGATGGAGGGAGCGAGGAAGGAAGGGTGCTCCCTCGACCTTCGGGGATCCCTCGCGCCTCTGGACGCAGCCGAGAGAAAATGGGCCAGGATGGTGCCTGGGAGGCGTTCTGGGGCCATGGCCGACCACAACGCTGCTTAGCTTGGTTTTGGCCTTTGGTTTTGTTTTTCGTTCTGTTTTTCGTTGCTCTTTCGTTCTTCGTTGTTCCTGGTTGTTTTAAACGCCCCGTTCCGTCGTTCGTTTTCGTTTGGCACTGGCTTCGTTGTGCACGTTCGATTTATACGTTTGGCCTCGTTTCGTTGTCTGTTGTGATCGCTCCTTGGTTCTGGGGCAATGGCCGATCATTATCTTGATGCCACTCTTCGTTGAGTATTGTGAAGGCCTTACGGCCAGCGCCGCCGACCCTGAAGGCGCGACCTCCCCCGGGACCCCCGGGGTCCCCTCCCGGGACTTTGGGGCCGGGGCCACGGCGGGGGTCGGGGCTGGGGCTACGGCCACGGCCGGGGCCACGGCCACGGCTGGGGCCGGGGCCGGGGCCGGGGCCAGAGCCGGGACCAGGGCCGGCCACCCCCCCTCCACAGTGGGGCACCTCTCCCTGTCCCTCCTGTCCATGTGGGACCACCCCCGAGGACCCGCCGGGACCCCGAGGGACGAGGGTGGGCGGCGGTAATAATCTGCCCCGGGACCCCCCCTAACCCCTCCCTTACCCCCCTTCTATCACTGTTCCCGATTCACCCCTCCCCCAGGCGACTGGCAGGCAACCACGAACCATGAGGACCCCATGTCCACATCCTCCCTACCATCCTTGTTGAACAAAGCAAACCAAAACGCACTTTGAGGATGCGGGGCCAACCCGATGCGGTCCCCCCCCACCATCCTGCTCAACAAACAACACTAATCAAGCATACACTTTTGGGCAAAGCCTTGAGCCATGTTCGTTAGGCCCGCGAGCACTTTGTCTTGTTTTTGTTAGGAACGGCGGGAGTGCCAGCATATGCCCTGCTGTGCGCAGGGCTACCATCCCTAACAGAAAGCAATACAAAATGCAGCTCGCGGCTAAATCTGGATCATGCGCGGCCACCCCGCGATCATTGCCAAGTGGTTTTTGACAGGGACGGCGTGGGTGGTGGCGCATGGCCTGCTGTGCGCAGGCCCATTAGAAACAATGATGGAAATTGGTTTTCGGCAAGGATGTGGGGGGCCGACGTGTTTCCCGATGTGCGCTGTCACTTGCGCAGGCGCACCTGACGCACCCTGCACGTGCCCCGAACGTGGCGTTCCTGGCGCGGCTGAAGTATGCGGCACACCTGGCGCACGCGGAGCACGTGGCACATCTGGCGCCACGCTCGGGCCCCTGGGGTACCTGGCGCGCGTGGCGCGGCTGCCACGCGTGGCGCACCTCGCCCCAGTGTCGCGCACATGGGGCCGGTTTTGGTTCCTAGTAGCTGTCCATCCAAAGACGACCGCTGAACATGCAAAGGCTCTGGTGCTACTTCTGTGTTCGGAGGCAGGGTGGGAGTAAGCTAGACAGCTTGCTATCTAGGGGGTGTCTTGACCGCCCCTACCACCCCCTACCCCCCCATCATGGTTCCGTCTTAATATACACCCCCTACCCCATCCCCATTCCCATCCAGGCCCCTACCATTTTAAACCCCCAGTTGAGGATAGACCCTTAGAGACCCGACGGAAACGGCCTATATCCTCATCTAGGGGGGTACATCGGCAAGTGGGGCCCAGGCCACTCCGTTGGGCATTGTGGCTAGTTGAACGATGCTCAGCTGGGGACACTGTCAATTGTAATGGGCAGCCGAGGCGTGACACGCGGTCATTCTTTTAGGGGGCCTCGATGGAGCCGGGGCTGCTCTGGGCGGCCGGCAGGCGGTGAGCGCAGCGGCTGGCGCGATCCTTCTCTCCGCCAAAGCTGTTCGATCGCCCGCGCAATCCCGACTGAAAGCAGGATGCCCTGTCGCCGTTTGGCTCAGCGCCGGCGCGTACGAGCGCGCTCTCTCCCAGGAGGAACGAGATTATTTTATTTTATAGTTTTCGTATCCATTGCCACCAGCCACCGCAATTATGGTTTATCCTCCTCCTCCTCCTCCTCGTCCTCCCCCCTCCCCTTCGTTCTCTCCACTTCCCCTCGGCCGCAGCCCCCCTTGTCCCAGCCTCCTACTCCGAGCCTCCGCAGGGGCAGATCGACGAGGTGCTCATGCGCGCGCGGGAACGCGATGCCCAAAGGCGCGCCGCTGCCTCGGCCGTGCGCGGCGGTCCCTGGTCACACGCACGCACACACACAACACACAACCCACAGCCTACAACACACAACACACACGACAACACAAGACAATCCAGCACACCACACAACACCACACCACACCACACCACCTCACACACACCAAACCACAACAGCACACAACACAGCACAACACAACACACACACACACACGCACAGCACACAACACGCAACACACACCACACAACAACAATAACACCAACAACAACACCAACAAACACACACAATAACAATAGCAACACCAACAGCACCACATGGCACACACGCACAACAATATACACGACACACAACACTTACGCTCGCGCACAGCACACACGCGCACGAAGACGTACCCACACGCACACACGAACACACACACACACACACACGCACACGCACACGGACACGCACAGAAGCACACAATTGGTTCGCGCTCGCCTGCCACTGAGCGCTCAACTGGCTGGTGATTGAAGCAGTGTCGACTGCATGATGCATCAAAGGGGAGTGGTGTCGATGCCGCGAGTTTGCGAGATTGGCCCAGCCCCGCTTGTCGCAGGGGGCGAAGCACACACACACACACTCGTGCACACTTTTATGGCGGTCGCGGCCCCGTGCGCAGCGACGAGGCGAAGAAAGTCTGGTGCAGCGGCCGGGGCCCCGTGTGCGCCGGGCTCACAGGGGGGCAGCGCCATCTGCTATTCGGGCGTGGACGGCGGGGAGGACGGAGGAGGACGAATCGACCACCGACGGGGGGTGGTCCCGCACGGAGGGCGCAGTAGGCGACACGACAGGCGACACGACAAACGACACGACAGAGGAGCGATCGACCGGCATGCACTGAACGAGTGAACGCGTGGCAGTCGAGGACGACTGAGGGGACGCAGGTGCAGATGGCAAAATGTTCTGGCAGACGCTCAGCGCCTTGACTCGAGGTTTCCGCGAGGCCGCGAGAGCTCGCGGGAGGGGACTCTTCTGAGGCGACGCGGCGTCGAAGCCCCGCCCTCCGGAGCGGCAGGGGGCTCCCCCCCGTCCTGAGTGGCGTCACGGAGGACGCTGGCGGGAGAAGAGCGTGTAAAGAGGCTGAAATGATAGTCAGAGAAGGCGTGGGGGTCGAAGGTCGTTTGATCTAACCCAACGACATCCACACCTGATGACGCATTCGTGCCAGCGAGTGGTCGTGAAATGGACGACGGGGCAGACGTCGTCAAGCAAGGCGGTCAAGCGGTTGACCAGAGCGAGATGAGCGGCTATCGAAGCTGACGAAGCGGCCGCTCCGGTCGCCGTGCTGGCCGTTCTGACGACCCGTTGCTTGGGCGGGGGAGCGTCGGCGGGGCCAGAGGCACTCTGAGATCGTGGCCGGGTCTTGGCTTGCGCCGATTGGGTGCCAGGACCGAGGATCGTCCGCTGGCGCATGCGGCGCGGCGATGCAGGAGGACCGCGAGTGGCCTGCGGCGCCAAGCCGGGGGCTGGCTTCCTCCCTCGGGCGCCCCCTGGTCTCAGGAAGGGGTCTGGGGTGGAAAACATGCCCATCACAGCACGCGCAGCGTTCACACGGACACGATCCCGCAAGCCCACACAGGTAGTGGCCGCTTCGGGGCAATCCTGGAGCCTCGGCGGCGCGAGGATCTCGGAAGAGCAGATTTGGTTGGGGTGCGGTGTCCACCTGGGCGATTTTCGTGGCAGGTCCCTGGCGGGGGGCGATGTGCTGACAGGGTACCTCGGACGGGGCACCGCGCCGCCGAGAACACCGCAGCACCTGCTCCCTCCACTCTCGGAGCCCAGCCGCTCTCGGAGGCAGGCGACGAGGAAGAGGGATGCGGAGGAAAAGGAAGAGGAGGAGGCGGAGGAGGAGGAGGAGGAGGAGGAGGAGGAGGAGGAGGAGGAGGAGGAGGAGGAGGAGGAGGGCTCTCGCGGCCTCTGGGCGTGCAGTGTTCCTCGCTAGCGGCATCCCGGTGTGCCGCGGCAAGAACATATCTTGCGGCCATCCATGCCTGAACACAGGCGCTCTTGAGGATAATGAGGGGAATGAGGGAAAGGAGGAGGAGGAGGAGGATGCGGAGGATGCGGAGGATGCGGAGGATGCGGAGGATGAGGATGAGGAGGATGAGGAGGAGGAGGAGGAGGAGGAGGAGGAGGAGGAGGGGAGGAGGAGGAGGAGGAGGAGGGAGGAGGAGGAGGAGGAGGAGGAGGAGGAGGAGGAGGAGGGGAGGAGGAGGGGCAGGAGGAGGGGAGGAGGAGGAGGAGGAGGAGGAGGAGGAGGAGGGCTCTCGCGGCCATCTGGTGGGCGTGCAGTGTTCCTTGCTGGCGGCATCCCGGTGCCCGCGGCAGAACATATCTTGCGGCCATCCATGCCTAAACACAGGCGTTCTTGAGGAATGAGGGGGGAGGAGGAGGAGGAGGAGGAGGGAGGAGGAGAGGAGGAGGGAGGAGAAGGAGGAGGAGGAGGACCAGGAAGAGGAGGCGGAGGAGGATGCGGCGGAGGAGGAGGAGGAGGAGGAGGAGGAGAAGAAGGAGGAGGAGGAGGGGGAGGAGGAGACAGACAGACAGGCCTCTGGAGGGGGAGGAGGAGGGGCAGGAGGGGAGAGGAGGAGGAGGGGGCCCACGTGGAGGGTTTCTCCGAAGGTCTTAGGCAACCCGTCCTCCTCCTCCTCCTCCTTCTCCTCCTCCCCATCATCATCATCATCATCATCATCATCATCATCATCATCATCATCATCATCATCATCATCATCATCATCATCATCATCATCATCATCATCATCATCATCATCATCATCATCATCATCATCATCATCATCATCATCATCATCATCATCATCATCCGTAGCCATTTTGGCTCAAGCTGTTTCTCCGGACTTTCGCAGGCGCCCACGCGCAGCGGTCAGCGGCGCGCGACTGGGAGATGAGCAATGGCGACGGGGGGCTGCCCGCAGGCGCGATGGCGGGGCGGCCCACCAGGCGTGGCAGTGCGCTGCGCAGGAAGGAGGAGGCCGAGGTAGGCGCCTCGGCGGCCCGCCGTCGGGCGCGGGCGCGGCGCCTCCTCGCCGCCACGGCGGCAGTCGGCAAGGCGGCCAGCGGCGGCCCAGGTTCCTGGCAGGACCGGGAGGCTGCTGCGCGCCCCGCCTTGCGCCGAGCCGCCGCGGGATGCCGCGTCCCAGGCGCAATGCGGCGGCGGCGGAACGCCGCTTGGCACGCGCTGCTGGTCCCTGCGGGCGGATTCGCGCGCGCGTCCGCAGCGGGCCTTTCGCGGGCCGCCGCAGGCCCCCGCCTGGGCTGGCTGCCCTCGCTCCCGGAGGCGGCCGCGCTGCCCTTCGGCGACTACGATGAGGCACCCGACGAGCACTGCCAGGCTCCCGGTGCCATGGACTGCCCAGTGCTGGGCGGCGCTGCCGCCACTGATGGATGGCGGCGCCCCCCCATCGTGAGCTTCGCGAACCAGGTCGTCACCGTGGCAGTGGACGGCAGCGTCCAGTCGGAGCTCCTGGGGGGCGAGGATCACCTCGATCGCCTGCGGCGGGACTTGCACCAGCGGCTCGAGGCGGCACAGCGGCCCGCGCTCAAGCCTGCCGCTGCCCTGTTGGCCCCGCTGCAAGAGGTGCTCCAGGTGCGGATCGTTGGCATGCTTTCCCTACCCGAAAGGCTGCGGTTGTGCCAGGCCTCAACTGGGGTCGCCTGGACCTTCGAGTGCAGCCCCTGTCGGCTCGCGGAGGCGTTGGAATCGGAGCTGCGGGACGCGGCGCTCCTGCAGCAGCTGGAGGGCGCAAGGCAGCACAGGGACGCGAACGCCGACGTGGACCTGGGCCGCGGTTTCGGCTCCGACTACCAGCTGGACATGCTGAGGGGGGAGTTGCACCATCCCGCGTCGGACCGCACCCAGTACAGGGCTCTGGTCGCGAAGCAGGCCCAGGACATCCGCTCCCTACGAGAAGGCTGGGCTGCTGCGGAGCATGCGCTGCGGGACCAGCTCGCCACGCTCAGGGAGCAGCTGCAGGCGTACATCGCGATGAGCTCGGATGCGCCAGCGGCCGCGGGCGAGCACAACGACGACGCATCCGATGGCTCGCTCTCGTCCCTCGTGGAGGATCGAGGTGATGATTGCGAGTTCTCCGACGGGTTCGATGCTCCCGATGTCCTCCTCGATGGGACTGTGGGCCTCAGGGCCTTGCCTCCCCTGCCTGCTCTCACCGACTGCCCGATCGGTTTCAGGGCTCTCACTTGGCTGTGGGACGGCAGGGACCCCACTGACATGAGGCGCATCGCCGACGAGCTGAAGTGGGCGGCTGCGACCCCCGTTCCCGACGAGCTCGAGGGCGACACGGTGGATGTGGTTCCCGAGGGCGCCGCGGCGTCTGGAGTCCACGTGGAGGAGATCGAGTTGGACGACCTGCAGGCGATCATACAGCAGCACCGCGCAGCGGGGGGGAGGCTCAGAGTCCCCCGAGGCGCTGGCCCAGCTGCTGCGGGCGACACCACTGCCCCTGCAGGAACTAACGGCGACGGGTTCGGCGACGTCGGCGGCCGATCCGTTCCCTACAGCGGCGACGGCATCGACACAGGCTTCTTGTCTGCAGGCGAGCTTCTGGAGGCGGCGGCCGCCTCGCGGTTGGCCCTCGCAGCGGCCAGCTTCCTCCTCGGGGTCCCACTCGAGGCGCCCCAGGCCTTAGACGCTCAGATGCCCGATGAGGGGGCCTTGGTGCCTTCACTGGATCTGCTCGTGTCGCAGGCGGGTCCAAGGATCACGAATGCCTGCGCCGAGCTGCTGCCTCTGGGGGGGGGGAGGGACCCCGTGGCGTAGGCTGTACCCCGTGGGGCTCGGCACACGCCAGGGTTCACTCCCTCCCGCCCCTCTTGGGCAGCGTCTGCGCTTCTTGCGCCCCAGCTTGCTCTGCTCTGTGCCGCCAGCCAGCAAGCTGAGTTGCCGTGAATGCTCGGTGCCCTGCCTTCCGCTTGCCTCGGCCGAGGCGGATGGCGTGGCCTCTAGTTTCAGGCGAGTCTGCGAGTGTGCCTTTGCACGGGTCAGGCCTTGCGTCCGCAGCGCCAGAGGGAAAGGCCATGGCTTCGGGAGGCTGTATCGAGCGGGGAGCTCCAGACCTTCTTGGATGCGTGGATCATCATCATCATCATCACCATCATCATCAGCATCAGCATCAGCATCAGCATCAGCATCATCATCATCATCATCATCATCATCATCGTCATCGTCATCGTCATCGTCATCATCATCATCAGCATCATCATCATCATCGTCATCAGCATCATCATCATTATCATTATCATTATCATTATCATCATCATCATCGTCATCGTCATCGTCATCGTCGCCATCATCATCATCATCATCATCATCATCATCCCTCCTCCTCCTCCTCCTCCTCTTCCTCCTCCTCCTCCTCCATCTCCTCCTCCTCCTCCTCCTCATCGTCATCATCATCTTCCATCCTCCTTCTCCTCCTCCTCCTCCTCCATCTCCTCCTCCATTTCCTCCTCCATCCTCCTCCTCGTCCTCCTCCTCCTCCTCGTCCTCCTCCTTCTCTTCCTCCTCCTCCATCTCTTCGTCCTTCTCCTCCTCCTCGTCCTTCTCCTTTTCCTCCTCCTCCTCCTCCTCCTCCTCCTCCTCCTCCTCCTCGGGTCGCGGACCTCCCACGCTCGCGACCTGCTTCGCGACGCGGGCCTGTACGGCTTCCCCTGGGGCCGTAGGCGACCAGAGGAGGACCAAAGGGGCTACGCCGAATAAGAAAACGCATACGAGCCACGAGCTTGCCGAGCCAATGCGCTTGCACTCTTGCTCTCGCTCCGGCGGTCACGGGCCATGGCCGCCGCGCGTGTCAGGCAACAGGGTCACCGCCGACGAGATCATCGAGACTCTCGGCACAAGGAAAGCGCGGGGTCGTTCAGGTTGCGCTCCGCCTTCTTGCCTCGAGCGCTCCATATGTCTTCCTCTGCGCGTTTGCTGCAGGCGCGTGGGTCAAGAGGAGGAGGGGGACAGAGGAGGATGAGGAGGAGGAGGAGGAGGCGGGGGAAGAGGAGGAGGAGGGGTCAGAGGAGGATGAGGAGGAGGAGGAGGAGGACGAGGAGGAGGAGGAGGAGGAGGAGGAGGAGGAGGAGGACGAGTACGTACCAGAGAAAACCAAGGGTGTACCAGCGATGCTGCAATACATCTTCACGTCCCAACCCTCCTGATCAGAAGTCCGTTCAGGACCCATCTGGACACCATGACATCCGAGATTTCAGAGACACGTCAAGCGAGATCTCCAGGACCCGCTCTCCACCTTAGAAGATACCGAAGGCCCGGACAGGATCATAGAGTTCAGGGACATGTCCAGGCGCTCACGGCGAAGCACCGCCTCCCCCTGCCTGTAGGAAGCGCCCGTGTCGTGACACGCCGGGCGAACGTGCGGCAAAGCTCGCGGAGTGCGTGCTCCCCCAGCCGTAGGGGAAGCCACCGGGGAAGCTCTTGGGATGGGACTCTTCGGGGCCGTTTGGGGGCTGTCTTGGGGCTGTTGTCGGGTCTTTTTGGACCTTGTTGGGGGCCTGGGGCCCGCTCGGACCATCTCGGGGCCTCCTTGGGCCGTCTTGGGACTCTCGGGCGTCGGGCGTCGTCGGAGGCCGTCTTAGGGGGCCTCTCTGGGCCGCCTGGGGGCTCTTTAGGGCCATCTTGGGACTTTCGTCGGCCATTTTCAGGCCGATAGGGGGCCCTGTTGGGTGTTCCACGACCGTCTTGGGGCCTTTCGGGCCGTCTTGGGGCTACCCTGGGGGCCTCGTGGGCTGTCTTGAACGACCACTGCTTTGACCGAAAAGGCTCAAGCCCGGAAAAATGTGGAACAAATTACGGGACATCAGCAGATATGGCCTCTTGATGCCCTCTTATGGGACCTCGTGGCGCCTTCTTGGGGCATCCTGAGAGGCCTGGCGGACCGTCTTGAAGCCATGATCGGTTGTCTTGGGCCCTCTTGGAGGCATCTTGAGCCATTTTGAAGGGCTCTGTGTTCATCTTGGTCCGACCAGATATCGACAAAGTCCTTGCAGGATGCCCTTTTGGAGCCGCCTTCAACGGAACAATCCACGGAGACAACCTTTTCCGCGTGGCCAGCGGGTTGGGCCGAAGGCCATTGGGAACCTTTGGAAGGAACCTTGTGGAAGGCCCTGGGGACCTCGTAGGAACTCTAAACCTTGACACGCGCTCTTCTTGCAGACTGCGGGGGCGGCGGAGAGGCGGCCTCTGGCCGATCCCGCCGCCGTGCCTGGGTCGACCCGTGTGCCGAGAGTGCTAGCCAGCATCGTGCAGACGCCATTTCGAGTTTCCCACGGGTGCTGGCGTCCCGTGCTGCCCCCCGGGGGCCCCTCGGAGGTCCGATGGGGCACCCACGAGAGCCAGAGGGCGGGCCCGAGGGGCCATCCGAGGGCATTCTGGAGCAGTCACGCGGCAGGCTCCACGAGCGCCCGTCGGTTTGGGGGAGTGGCTCTGGCCGAGGTAAGGGAGGAGGATGAGTTGAAGGAGGAGGAGGAGGAGGAGGAGGAGGAGGAGGAGTGCAGACTCAAGACCAATCAACGATGCTGCAACAGAGCCTCCCTCCAAGTTCCTTCTTGGCAGGTCCCTACAAGGGTTCGTGTTCACTGAGGGAGGTGCTCCGTTGGAAGACGACAGTCCGAAAATGCCGAACCGTGCCTGAAAGCCGTTCTTGAGACTTCTACGCCGCGAGTCAACGTGCCTGTTGCGTCCTGACGATCCGGAATCGCTCCAGAACGACATTCTTGACTCAACGTGACGGTTTCGCCTGGACAGTTCTACACCGTGCCAAAACACAGTTTCTGGGACGTCAACCATACAACTCCTTGAAACTGTTATGAACAGTTAAGACGAATGTGCGCGGCGCTGAGGCGAGAGCCACAGTTTGAAAAGGCAACGCCTTCCATCCGTGAAACTTTTGGAAACGTTTAAGACGAATGCGCGCGGCGCTAATGTGAGAGCCACTTTGTGAACACCGCCCGCCCTCCATCCGTGAAGCCCCTGCGAACTTCTAAGACCAATGAGCGCGGCGCTGAGGCGGGAACCACATTATGGAAAGGACCCGCCCTTCATCCGTGAAACTTTTGCACCTTTTTGCAGACGAATGCCCGCGGTGCCAAGGCGATCGCCACATTTTGAGAACGACCTGCCATCCATCCGTGGAGTTTTTGCAGAGTTTAGTCTTGAGGATCATCAATGACGAGATAGTATCAGGCGAAACGCTCGGCCCGCCCTACCCACACGCCTCGGGGTGCGAGAGGGAGGAGTTAGTTCTAAGGAAATGGGATGGAGAAGGAGATCCAGGAGCAGGAGCAGGAGCAGGAGGAGGAGGAGGACGAGGAACAGGAGGCGGAGAAAGAGGAGGAGGAGGAGGAAGAGGAGGAGGAGTAGGAGGAGGAGGAGGAGGAGGAGGAGGAGGAGGAGGAGCAGTGTGGTGAGAAGGATTGGAGGATGGAAGGAGGATAATGATGAGAAGCAGGAGAAGGCCCCACTCCCCCTCCCCTGTCTTCCCTGCCCTCTTCGTTCCTCGCCAGCCCCCCTCTCCTGTGCCCTGTGGCTGGTGTCGACCTCTGCTGAGCAGATCCGGAGCGCCCGTGAGCCGAAGAGAGGGAGGAACGGGCCTCGGAGGGGGGGAGGGCGTGGGAGGGTAGGGGATGCGAGAAGGAGGAGGAGAAGTAGGAGGAGGAGGAGGAGGAGGAGGAGGAGGAGAAGGAGGGAATGGTCCAGGCCTCCCGCTCGGGGCCAGAGCAGAAGGGGTCGGAAGAAGGCCATCGGCGATGCGTCTCGATGTGGAGCCCGATACTCTCCACGCCGACGTCGCCGATGCATCGGGGATGCACTGGTCATGCGGCGCGCGATCTTCCGACCCCGTCTGCCTGGACCTCATTTGGGGAGGCCTCCAGATGAGGAGCTATGCTGGACGAGCGCACCAAAGCTCCAGATAGGGGACAGGGTGAAGGGAGGGGGAGAGGAGCTTGGGACGGGAGTGGCCGGACAGGGGATAGGCTCTGCCCGCAGGTAGATCACTTTTTTTTTCTATCTCTCTCTCTCTCGTTTTCTCTCTTTCTGTCTGTCCTGGCAATCGCACCGTGCAGACACAGCAACACATGCGACACTTTATCGGCGTACCACCGCGACTGGCACTCGGAGCCGTGGTCCAGAAGGCGCCGCCCGGCAAAGCCCGGGCGGGAGGTCGCTCGCCTTCCTTTTGGATCTCCTGGTCAGGGAAGCGACTGGGCGGGAGGTTGGGAGGGGGTGGGAGGGAGCGGGGGAGGACATGGGGGACAGCTTTTGGGGGCGCAGCCTGGAGCGTGCCACTTGAAGCGTGTTTGGGCGCGTGTTTTGACGTCGCTGGGCACCATGGTCTTCCCGTGATCCTCGGAGGTCTCCGGGGGGCCTCGTAGCTTCAAGCGCTTCAGCGGCCCGAGCGGTGACGAGCATCCCCGGCGACGACCGTCCAGCGTCGAAGAGTCGGGCAGGGGCCCCGGGCAGGGGGGCTCCTCGGACGGGGCCCTGCGTGGGTCTGCCCCCCTCGGGCAGGGGCCCCTCGGAAGCTGGCGACGCCCGCCGAGCGCCCTCGGCCCGCAGACGAAGAGCCTCGCCCCGCCGGGGCGCCCTCCCGGGGCATCCCGGGCAGCCACCACGGGGCGCGCGGGGGCCCGCCGGGGATCCCTCGAGAGCCGTCGGGAAAGCAGTCCGACCCAGCCTGAAGTCGGGCTGGGGTAGTAACCCAGCCTGAAGTCGGGCTGTGGACTACGGGAGGAATCTTCAAAGATAGTAGCAAAAAATAGCCCAGGGACGATTTTCCGATCATTTTTTGGGGGGGATTTTGAGTTTGTTTTGGGCTTTTTCTTATTTTTCGTCAAACATCCACCTGCAGGAGGACATGCCCAACCTAAACCCAGCCCCCCGTGGGGCATGCGGGGGCCCTCTGGGACCCCTGTAGGGCCCGCGCGGGCGCCGGCGCCCCCTTTTGCCAGGCTCTGGGGCTGCCAGGGACGGCGCATCTACCCCCAGTGTTGTTCTCCCGCCTCGCAGTCGGTCGGCAGGGAAGTCGACCAGGAGCGACGAATTCATGCATCCAGCCATGGCGACAACTATATCGGGGGTGGACAGACCTCCTACCCTGACACGTCCATTAGCGAATTTGGCCGTTTTCGGTTCGCGAGAGGGCGTCGCGGCCGTCATTTTTGCGGGTTCAGGTCCGTCGGTTTCGGTCCCAGGCCGTTTTCACTAAATGGAGGTTTACTAAAGGGAGGTTCGTCCACCGCCGACGGAAGGTAAGTCGACCAGGAGCGACGAATGCACGCATCCCGCCATGGCGACAACCGTATTCAGCCTGCCGAAAGCCTTCCCCCCGGGAGCCAGGTTCAGAGACCATGGGGATCGACGAGGAGGAAGAGGAGGAGCAGGAGGACTCCATGCTTGTGGGTTCAGCCGTACGAATCCTTCAATCTGTTACACACTGTTTAGACACATGCGTTCGGCGCTCAGGCTGGAGCAATATTCCAAACAGGAACCGCCATCCATCTTTGACTCCGGTGCGAATTGTTGAAAACGAAGATGCGCGGCGCTAGGGCGAGAACCACATATTGAAAACGAGCCGCTTTACATCTTTGAAGCTGTTGAAAGCGTTTAAGACGAATGTGCACGGCGCCGAGGCGAGAGCCACATTCTGACATGGAGCCGCCGTTCATGTCTGAAACTGTTGCGGCGTGCAAGTCCCAGGGCCGTGATGAGGAAGTCTCGGGCCGAGGCCGAGGACGATGGCGAGGAGCTGGAGGAGGAGGAGGAGGAGGAGGAGGAGGAGGAGGAGGAAAAGGAGGAGGAGGAGGAGGAGGAGGAGAGGAGGAGGAGGGAGGCGGAGGCACACAACGCCCGGGGCCGTAGGCGACCCGAGGAGGAGGAGGTGGAGGAGGGGATGGGGAGGAGAAGATGGAGGAGGAGGAGGAGGAGGAGGAGGAGGAGGGAGGAGGAGGAGGAGGAGGAGGAGGAGGAGGAGCTGGAGGAGGCGGAGGGAGCTGGAGGAGGAGGAGGAGGAGCTGGAGGAGGCGGGGGAGAGGAGGAGGAGGAGGAGGAGGAGGAGGAGGAGGAGGAGGAGGAGGCACGCGCGCCCCAAGCCCAGAACCCTTGCCGCCTTGGTGGGGCTTGACCGCTGCCCTAACCTCGCCCGCGCGCCAAAACTGCTCAGGACTTCGACCGCGAGTGGGACGGCAAGGGCTGCGGCAAGGGCAGGGGCAAGGACTGCGGCTCTCGAGCTCCGACGGCGCGGCAGGCGCGGGAGCTCGAGGTCCAGGTAGCAGCTCGGAGCGTAGCAGCGCCTCCCCCGCCCCCCCCATCCTGTCTCCCGTCCCCCCGCCCCATCGCGCGTCCCCTCTCCCTCCCCCCCGCTGCCTTGCCCCCTCCCCGTCTCCCCCTCTACAATTACTCAATATGAATGCTACTCTCCCTCTTCCCCTGATGACGGCCTGGGAGTGTCCGACCCCCCCCGCGTACTCTTCTTTTACACACAGGTTTCCCCGGAGTTGGGTTTTCGCCTGCATTTTTTTCAAAATGCTGCTCTCGCGGAGGCGCCGGCCTCATTTTCGGGCCCCGCTCGTTCCGAATCGTGCTCCCGCTGCAGCGCTGGCCTCATTTCCGTGCTTCTGCTCGTTCCGAATCGTGTTCCCGCTGCAGCGCTGGCGTCATTTCCCGTGCCATGCCACGGCATGCAATGCAGTGCTAGGTTGATGCTACGCTTTGCGGTGCTCTTCTACGCCATGCCATGCCGTGCTCTACAATGCATCGCGTACCCTTTCGGGATCATCGCCCTGCTCGACATCCGACTGTGCGAATAGAGAGGGGATCTGCGCCATGGTAAGGGATGGGAGGGAGGGGTAGGATGTCAGATATGACGCGAGCGCACCTAGCTTGCCTCTGCCCCCTCCCCTCTCCCCTCTCTGCTCCCCTCTCCCTTCTCTCGTCCCCCGCCCTATAATTGCGCTTCGCCCAGGAGGTGCTACCCCCACCAGTGCAACGGGGCAGGTGGGCGATAATAGGCCGCCCCCTGGATCCTCGGGGGTTGCTGGCGTTCCCTTGGAGGTTCTCTGGGTGTGGTCGGCTATACCATGGCTGTGTGTTGCTTTGCTTGTTGTCGCCGTTTCTCCTGGTGCGTCCTCGACCTTCGCTTGCCGCCCAGCCAAGCTTTCCCAGCCCGCTCGCTAACGGCTGTGACTCTGTGGTATTGCGCACACGGCTGCCCGCTGAGAACATGGTTCGTCATGGCGTGGCGTGATGCTCATTGTTGTTTTGCCAGCGTCCGTTTGTCTTGTGTTGCGTGCTTCAGTAGTGCCACACGCGATATAATGTGCAAGGCTTTGCCACATGCTGCTACGCAATGCAGCATGCATGTTATGTCATGCGAGCTGCGCCATGTTATGGTGTGCAATGCTGCGCTAAGCCGCCGTGCACTGATTTGCCAACTTATTAAGGCTGCGCCATGCGTGCCATTCAACGCAGCGCGGGCGCGCCAGGTCCAGCCCTCCTTCCGTTCCTCGTCTTCCGTGTTCAACTCCTCATTGCGAGTGCTGTTCTGTTCGAACTCGTCTCTCCACGTGCGGGTGTTGACCCGATGTTTCCGTGCATGGCTTCTTAGAAGCAGGACTTCAAGAGCTTGCAGCTTCGCTTTCATTCGAAACGTGTTCGGTCGTTTCGAGTGGCGTTGTCGGTCGCTTCGTCTGAGGTGGCACTCCCGCGTACGTCCTTGTCTGCACGTGATCCGAAAACCACTTTGGTCGTACGAGCGTGTTTCTTTGTTGCTTGGGGCATAACGGGCGTTATAGCCCCCGACCCCCCCTATGACGCAACGCCCCCCCCCCCCCCTCCAGTGCGCTCTGGGCACTGCCGCCGTGCGCATCGGGATCCGCATAGGAATCCGTATAGGAGTCTGGGTCCGTATTGGGAATATTACGGGGATCCGCATAGGGATGCGCTTACGCATTCGCGTAGGGATTTGCATAGGGATCCGCGTAAGGATCCGCATAGGGATTCGCATAGGGATTCGCATGGCAATGCGCATGGTCATCTGCCTAGGCATCCGCATCGGGATCTGCATCGGGATCCGCATAGCATTCGCATAGGGATCCGCCTAGGGATCCGCATAGGGATCCGCCTAGGGATCTGCAAAGGGATTCGCATAGGGACCCGCACTGAGATTCGCATAGGGATTCGTAGTTGTGATTTTGTGTGCCCGGTGAAAATATTCCTCCTCCTCCTCCCTCTCCTCTTCCTCCTCCTCCTTCTCTTCCTCGTCCCCCTTTCTCCTGCTCCCCCTCTTCCTCCGCATCGCCTTTTTTGGGTCAAGCCATTTCGGCGCCAAGAGGCGCCAAGATGGTGCTGAAATTACGTGGTTCGTGGCCCCTGGTCGTGACTCGTGCGCACGCGCTGTGGTGCACTGCCTGCCCTCCCCACTCCTCTCCATTCCTTTTCGGGGGCGCTGTGGTGCGCGCAGTGGCCATGGCGTGCAAGGGCGTCGTGGGCTCAAACCGCAGGGGTGCACGCAGGCCAAGAGAAAACGATAATCGCAATCAGTTCACATATCGAATTTGATAGTATCGGCCGCCCCTACGATTTTCTGGCGTTTGGTCCAGCCGGGACCCCATAGAGTCCTTGAGGTGCACGCAGGCCTTGTGGTGTGCACAGGCACAGTCGTGCACGCAGATGGTGCCGAACTGGTCGTCGATCATGGTCTCTGGTCGTGGCTCGTGCGCGCAGGCGCTGTGGTGCACGCGGAAGCGCTACCATTTTACCTGCCCCCCTTCGTCGTCGTCGTCGTCGCCCGTCGCTCGTCGCTCGTCGCCCATATCGTCGTCGTCTCTCGTCACTCGTCGCTCGTCGCACATTGTCGTCGTGCGCGTGGGAGCGGCTGTGGTGCCGGAGCCGCACGGCGGTGGGGGGGGGCGTTACGTCATACCTTCCCCCGCTCCCCCCTATGTCGCCCGTTATCGCCGAAAATGCGAAACGTTCTCTACGTGCTGTTTTTTCTCCCGCTCTGAACGTGCTCGGTCGTTCGCAGGGGCGCGCTCGCCCAGGCGCCTGCCACACCCCAGCCCAGCTGACAAGGGCCCGCCGTGAGCGAACGCTGCTTGTGTTTTCACCTGCTCCTTGCCGCTTGCGGGTTTTCACCCGCCGCTCTTACGCACGGCCTGTAAAAATTTAGAATCACAACGTCAAGCGGTCGTGTGACGTTTTTTGTTGGGAGTGCTCGGGGTGCTTGGTGTCGTTCGGACTGGCGCTCTCGCCTGGGTGCGTGCCACCCTGCTGCCTTTCATTCGCTCGTTGGCCAGGTGGTCAGTGCCTTTCAATGGTTAGGACTTGCCAAGACACATTGACAATCCAGTGCGTTGAAGTGTCTCGTTATTCGGAACGCTCGTCTGTTCAGTTTCCGAAGCCTGTGCTTCGCAGCCTTACGCCCCTCCCGCAAGAGAGGCGGGCGGATTGTTTTTGCTTGTCCGCTTTCTCATGGGCAAGTGCGCGGGCTCGGCGTCCTCCTCCTGCACCCTCCTCCTTCCCGTACTCTTCGTTCAACCCATGGCTGTACTCCTTCTGTCCGCATTCACATGCTCATGCTCCCCTTCCCCCTCTTCCCCCCCGTGGCCCTCCAAGCTCCCATTTATCTTCATTGTGTCGCTTTCTTCCTCCTCCCCGCTCCCTGTTTTCCCATGCTCCTTCCCTCCCCCTGCTCCTCTCTCGTCTATGTTCGTACCAGCCGCTCTCCTCGTCTTTCCTCTCCGCCTTCATCCCCAAGCTCCTCAAATTCATCCTACCCCCTGCGCCTCCTGCCTCCTCTTTCGTCGGCCTCGTGTTCTTTTCTGTTTCTCCGCCCTGCGGGGCGCTGTTCGACTGTGCGCGTCTCCTCTCCGCCCAGACGTCGCTGGACATCGCTTGCCTGGCTCGGTCTTGGCCCCCTCTGCACCTCTATGCAATTCAGTGGAGGCCCATGCCAAGAAATACCCTGCTTGCCTCCCGGGTGCCCTGGGTTTCTTGTGTTCCGGGGGTTTTGCGATGGGACGCGATACGCTCCCACACCAAACACCAATGGACGTCCTGGGGTCTCAGGGTTGGGTTTCTTGTGGGAGGTTTCTTGTGGACTGGCCTCCACTGTGGACGATCGGCCGAGCACGGCACTGATGCTTGGGGTCAGGGCCCGGTCGGGCTCCAGGCCCCGCGAGTGTGGAAAGTCTTGCGCGGCAGTGGGCGTGGGGGTGGGCAGGACTGCCAGGCGTGGCGCGGGCACTCCTCGCCTGGGCCTCTCCCGCCCCCTGTCCTCCCCTCCCCCCCGGCTGTCCGGCCCCCTGCCCTCCCCTCTCCCCATCCCCTCCCCCTCCCTCCGCGCGACCATCTCGGGCCCCCCTCTCTGTGGGAGGGCCTTCTCGTATCTTGTCTTCGCCGGCCCCGTCCCCTCGCCGCCCCTCCCCCTCGCCACCTCCTCCCCCCGCCTCCCGACCCTCCCACCCCCCTCGCCCCGCCCGCCCCCCCCAGCCTCGCTCGCCTCGGAGGACTTCGGGGACTTCGGCGCCCCCCCGCCGCCGATGCCGCACGCGCCCCCGCCGGGCCACGGGCCAGTGCCGCTGCCGCACTACCTGGACCCCTGTGGCAGGCCCCCCCCCTTCCCTGCGCGGGGCCTCCGCGCCGCGCTCGCGTGCGCAGCAGGGATCGCCGGCGTCCCCGTCCTCCTCGGGTGCCGCCAGGCCCTGACCTCCTCCGCCTCCTCCTCCTCCTCGCCTTGCTCGCCTTTCTCGCCTTCCGCGCCTTCCTCGCCTTCCTCGTCCTCCTCCTTTCCCCCCCTCCGCTCTCCCTCCTCTCTGCTGCACCTCGGCGCTGCTCGTCGCGCCTGCCCTCCACACTCTGCGGCGCCCGCACCGCGAGCCCCGACCTCCGGGGGGCTGCCGCGTAGGAGAAGAGCGCGGCCACCTTCTCGAAGCGCAGGCCCCGTCCTCCTCGGGTGCGTCGTCACACATCACAGCGGGAGGTTTGTTTGTGGCCAGACCTCGGCCTTTGGGGGGCCCTCGCAGGGCACCCGGGGCCGTCCACGAGACAACACTCGGGATGCAGAGGCGGCGGTCCTGGGGAAGGTTGGGCGCGGCCTTACCGCCGACCCCCCGCAGACCATCCTCTGCCGTGACGTCCCCCTTGCCTCGCCTTATGATTTTCCAACCTAATTCAGCTTTGATCACCAGAAAGAATTTCGAGCACCAAGACAGTACCGAAGCTGTAGGGTTTTCACGTGTCGGGCCCTGGGAGGCGATATTCGCGCGACACTGTTTCGATATGTTCTCCGGGCGCTCGAAATTATCTCTGAGATATGGTCCTTAGGTACTGCGGCCAGAGAAGCTCGAAGGGCCCGGGCGACGTCGCGGAGGGGGCCGGCTTGCCAGGGGTCGGCCAGGCCGCGCCGGAGATGCCCAGCATCGGCTTTATGCTCCAAGAACCTTGTCTTTGCTCTCAAAACCTTCCTGGGTTCGAGGAACAGGTCGTGGTAGGCCTCTAGGAATGCCAGGACGGTCGGTCCCTGTTCAAGAGATGGTCGGCCACGCGCAGAGGGGGGTGGGGGGAGGGGGGAGGGCTTCTCGGTGGAAGCACCCCTGCCTCTTGGAAGGCGCGGGCCTTCTCTGTAGATGTCAGGCGGGCGCCTTCTCAGAAGCAGCCCCCTCCTCAGAAACCCGCCCCCCCTCCCTCCGCCCCCCTCCTGCGCGCCGCCAACCGAGAGAGGGGGGGCAGGCCTCGCCCAAGGAGCCGCGGCGCGCCCGTTGCGCCGCGGAGCGGCTCGGGGGGCGGGGGGGCCTCGCGGGCGCCGCCGGGCCCCGGCCTCGGCGGCCCGGGGCCCGCCGCCCAGACCGCCGCTGGGCGCGGCCACTTCGGCGCGGGGCGGGGCGACGCCCAAGTCGGGCCTGTCCCCCATACGGGCGGATTCTGGCAAAAAATCAAGCACAGTTAGCAGATCTTCAAGAATGCTCAGAGATAGTCCACAAGAATCGTCCCCAGCCTATTTCTGGGCTATTTTGAGCATTCCCCCTGTAGAGGGACAGGGCCGACTCGAGGCGACGCGTCGCCTCTGCAACTCAGGCGATTGCAAGCATGGAGCGAGGGGGCGTGGATTAGCGACGGGTTCCGCTTCCATGGGGAATCGCGGATTTCCGCCGCCGAGCGAGGCGGCACCGGCCGCATTTGGGGGAGGGCACCTCCCCCGATCCATGGATTTTACGACCGCGCGCCGGATCCTTGGATCGCTAATCCATGTCTGCGCGCCCCCGAGCCACAGAAGGAGCGCGCACCGCCTTCTGTCTGGGCATCGCTCGGACGTGTGCACTTTTTTCCTAGGCGAGGAGCCTCGAGGAGCATCTTGGATCATCTTGCGAAAGGTGGAGGGGCAACGGTAAGGGGGGGATCAAGCTAGCCAGCTCGAGCGAGTCAAGCATGGCATGCCCATTCCCACCCGCCCTCCCACAACATAAGAAACAGTGATGGCACAAGTGGCGGCTGCGCGGGCATTTCAGTGCGAGTAGAGGATGCCCCAGGACACCGCATTGACGTCCGCGCGGGGTGCGCGCCGCGTCCCATTCCCGCCACGCATTTCGCATCGTCGACGACAAGACTGGCCATGTTCAAAGGAACAACGGACACGTTCCGCCCTCCCACAACATAAGAAACAATGCTGGCGCAACTGGGTGCTGGCGCGTAGTGGTAGCAGTAGTAGCCGTAGTAGTAGTAGTAGTAGTCGTAGTAGTAGTAGTAGTAGTAGTAGTAGTAGTAGTAGTAGTAGTAGTAGTAGTAGTAGTAGTAGTAGTAGTAGTAGTAGTAGTAGTAGTAGTAGTAGTAGTAGTAGTAGTAGTAGTAGTAGTAGTAGTAGTAGTAGTAGTAGTAGTAGTCGTAGTAGTAGTAGCAGTAGTAGTAGTAGTAGTAGTCGTAGTCGTAGTCGTAGTCGTAGTCGGAGTCGTAGTCGTAGTCGTAGTAGTAGTAGTAGTCGTAGTAGTAGTAGTAGTCAGTAGTAGTAGTAGTCAGTAGTAGTAGTAGTCAGTAGTAGTAGTAGTAGTAGTAGTAGTAGTAGTAGTAGTAGTAGTAGTAGTAGTAGTAGTAGTAGTAGTAGTAGTAGTTGTAGTAGTAGTAGTAGTAGTAGTAGTAGTAGTAGTAGTAGTAGTAGTAGTAGTAGTAGTAGTAGTAGTAGTAGTAGTAGTAGTAGTAGTAGTAGTAGTAGTAGTAGTAGTAGTAGTAGTAGTAGTAGTAGTAGTAGTAGTAGTAGTAGTAGTAGTAGTAGTAGTAGTAGTAGTAGTAGTAGTAGTAGTAGTAGTAGTAGTAGTAGTAGTAGTAGTAGTAGTAGTAGTAGTAGTAGTAGTAGTAGTAGTAGTAGTAGTAGTAGTAGTAGTAGTAGTAGTAGTAGTAGTAGTAGTAGTAGTAGTAGTAGTAGTAGTAGTAGTAGTCGCCCTGAGTCGCCGAAAGATCGTTCCGAAACGCCCAAGATGGCCTCCAGACGGCCGCAGAACCGCGGGGAGCCTCAGGAGGCCCTCCAAGAGCCTGAACAAGCAAAAACCTCCCAGGCATTCGTCACCCCAGGACCTCCTGGAACGCCCTGGCGCCCAATGAATTAGCGAGCTCAAAACTTGCGCCGAGCCAAAGCGGGAACGCAACTTTGAGAAATTTCATTCGGCGCCCATGCGAGAAGGGCATGTCGTTCACTTCGAGCGGGGGGGGATGGGGGTGTGCCGCGCCCAATTCTTGCCATGCAATTTTGCGGGGTGGACAACAAGAGCAGCTATGTGGGCAGGGGAAATCAGCATGGCATTGTTTCTGACAAGTAAGGTGTCCCCTCCCCCCTTGGGGTTGCCCCAGAAGTCCGCGCGCGATGTGCGCCGCGCCCCATTCCCGCCACGCATTTCGCATCGTCGACGACAAATCAGGCCATGATGAAAGGAAAAACGGCAACTCTGTATTGTTTTTAACAGTCCGGATGGGAGGGCCCGCGGCCCGCATGGACGTCCGTGCGCGATGTGCGCCGCGTCCCATTCCTGCCGCATATTTCGCACCGTCGGCGACAAGGCAAGCCATGCTGAGATGAAAAAACGGAGACTTTGTATTGATTTTTTACAGTCAGGATGGCCGGGCCCAGATTGACGGCCGCGCGCGATGTGCGCCGCGTCCCATATGTGCGCCGCGTCCCACTGCTGCCACATATTTCGCACCGTCGGCGACAAGGCAGGCCATCCTGAGAGGAAAAAGCGAAGAACGTGTATTGATTTTTTAGAGTCAGGACGGGCGGGCCCAGATTTAGTGCCGCGCGCGATGTGCGCCGCGTCCCATTCCTGCCACGCTTTTCGCATCGCCGACGACAAGAAAGACGATGTCGAGAAAACGAACGGCCACTTTGTATTGATTTCTTACAGTCCGGATGGGAGGTCCCGGATTGGGTCGCTATCGACCGGGATGCGAGGTAGGTGGGGGTATATAATATTCAGGAACAAGGATACGGGGGGATGCACCGACCCAAATCGCCCAATGATCGCCGATAGGGGCCCGATAGCCTTAACCTGCACAGGAAGGCGCGGATCCACTATCGGGGGCCTACCGCCGATCTATCGGCGATGTATCGCCGATCCCAGGTCGATGCATCCCCCTTTATGCCAGTCCCCCCGTATCTTTGCCCCCCAAAGATAGGCGCACGAAGCAGACAATGTGTTCGGGGACCGGACGTCCGAGCGATGGCAAATTCTCGACGGCGGCCAAAGCTTGGCTTCCAGACGGAGCGGCCGCAATTTTGTCTTGGTTGTTTCGGATTGGGGGCGGAGGAGGAGGAGGAGGAGGAGGAGGAGGAGGAGGAGGAGGAGGAGGAGGAGGAGGAGGAGGAGGAGGAGGAGGAGGAGGAGGAGGAGGAGGAGGAGGAGCGATTCAGGCGTCCCTGGTTTCGGGGTCAACGCAGAACGACCCTCGGCGACAGCCCAGTCCTGCAGACCAGTGGCTGTGGTCGAGAGCTCTCGGGCCCGCGCCGTGAGAAGTGACGACGGAAAGGGTCTGTGCCTGGGGTGCCGCCAGAGGGGCCTCTGCTGACAGGGCCACCAGCTCTCGGCGCGGCGGCAGTGGTGGCACGGGCATCAAAGGCAGAAAAGGTTGGGACTCACGACAGCTGACAGCGGAAATCGCTGAAGACTTGACGGTCAGCGCTGTAACAGAGGCTCAGAGGAGGAACATGTACCCGTACCGCTACCCATTGCCCGTTTTCCGCTCGTTGGGCTTCCTGGGAGACCCTTGTCGCCAGGGCTGGATTCGCCTCGAAATCTTAGTCAGAACGCTCCCCAGAAAAGGTCTGGGGAGTACGGTAGGTTCGTGTCGTGTTGACTGGCGGCGACCCCGCCGGCGGCGTTCAATGTTGAACGCTGCGGGCGACCCAGAATCGTTCGATGTGGAACGATTTGGATGTTTCGGAAGTGGTTGACCGTTCAATGTTGAACGATCCCTGCGGTGTCAGAAACCAACGCCGAAGTAGGCACGACACGAGCCTGACGTAGCGGTATCGGTACCTGTTGGTTTTCCCCCGGTAGCAGAAGCCTCGCCGTCATGGTATGGACCCGCCGTGCTGTTTTTTTGGTGGTTTCGTGGCGATCGACCGGTTCGCGCGCGTTCGGTTCTCTTCGTGCCCCCTTGTTTTCCTGATGGATGGTGCCCGTCCTCTTGCTGGCATTTCTGGATTTCCCGTTCCCTTCGCGCGTCCGTCTCTCCAGCCTTCCTCTCTTCCTCCACCTCCGATGTATCACCCTCACCCGCGTCACCGTGGCATCCATCTCTCTCCTTCTCCCCCTTTCTCGCCTACTCCTGACTCCGCTTCATGACTCCGCCAGCCTCGTCTCCAACACAACTCCTTGCTGAACGCCACAATTCCCCACGCGTGCGAATCAACAAACACATCGTGGCTCCGGCTCCGTCGATCGAAGACGCCTACGGTGAACAGGGGCCGCTTGTTGCCTTTTGAAAGCGCCCGTGTCGTGAACTGTCGAACGAACTGGCGGCCGCGCTAGGGGCGCATGCCCCCCCAGCCGTTGGGGGAAATATTTTTGGGACCACTAGGCAGGGGCCCTCTGGTGCCGCCTTGAGTCTGTTTTGAGCATCTGTTCTGACCCAAGGGCTTTCTCTTGGGGCCTTCCGGAGCCCTCCCTCGGGCCATCTTGGGGCGCTCTTAGGGACTTGCCCTGTGCCGTCTTGGTGCCCTCTTGGGGCGCTTGCGGTATGCCGCAGAGCTTTCATAGGCCGTTCTGAAACCCTTCTGGGGCGATCCTGGAGGCGCGGAAGTCTGCTGACAACTTCCCAACCATCCTGTGGTGTGTCGGGTCCTCGCTTTGAATACGCATCGCCCCGCGTCTTTTCTCATCCCTCCCTCCTCCCATCCTTCTCCCTCTTCCCTCCCCTCCATGCCTGCCTCTGCCCTCGGTCCGATCGGCACGCCCCTTTCGGCAAACTCCTCACACGTCTCGTGGCCCCAGAGGGGGCTCCACCGAAGGCCCCGGAGGCACCGTCCACGTGTTGGGGGCGTCACGCTCTTTTCGGCCCCCCCCTCGCATGTTTCGTGGCCCCATAGGGAGCTCTACCTGAGGCCCCAGAGGCACCGTCCACATGTGAGCGTCACATCCGTTTCGGCCCACCTCTCACACGTTTCGTAACCTTTGTGCAAGAAGCTCCACCTGGTGCCCCAGTGGCACCGTCCACGCGTGGGCGTCACAGCAGTTTCGGCACACCCCTCACACGTTTCGTGGCTCTGAAGGGAGATCGACTGAAGGCCCCAGAGAGGCACCGTCCACGTGGCGGCCCTGCCCCATCTCATCACACCACTCACACGTTTCGTGGCCCCGTGGAGAGCTCCACCTACGGCCCCAGTGGCAGCGCCCGCATGGTGGCCCCGCCCCGTGTCAGCATGTCCCTCACGCGCGCCATAGCCCCATAAGGACATTCACCCCAAGCGAAATTCACAACGGCCGTATACACAACTGCATATGGTTGGGTCTTTCCCCAGGATAAGTTGTTCTTCCCTCTCGAGGCTGTCCTGCATGGATGTTCTCTCGGAACCATCTTGGGGGCGCTGTGGGTGCTTCTCGGGCCGTCTTTGGGCCATCTCGGGCGGTCTTGGGGGCATATTCGGCCCCCCTGGAACCATCTCGAGCCAGTATTGGCCCGCTTGGTCCATCTTGGGCGGGCTTCACGGGGACCTTAAGGCCCTCTTGGAGGTCCTCGTGGGGCCAAACCGGAGGCGGAGCGCCACGGGGGCCCACCCTGGCGCGGCGGCGGGAGGGGCCGCGGCGCCTGCGGAACCTCCATGGTGGTGCCAAGCCTCGCGGCGCAGGCCGAGGGAGAGCCCCTCGGGGCAGGCCGCCCGAGCCCCGAACCATTGCCCGGGGGACCGCGCCAGGCGCGCCCGGGGGACCTCCATGGTGGTGCCAAGCCTCGTGGCGCAGGCCGAGGGAGGGCTCCTCGTCGGAGCAGGCCGCCCGAGCCCCCGAGCTCCCGCCCGGGGGACCGCGCCAGGCAGGGCGCCCGCGGGGGGCGCCCGCCGAGCGCCTCCACCCCCCTGGGCACGGGGCACCCGCGCCCGAGGGCCCCCCGCCGCCCCCGAGGGGGGGGGGGCTCGCCGCCCATGGGGGGGGGGCTCGCCGCCCCCCCCCTCCGCTCGCCGCCCGAGGCTCCCCCCCCGCCGCCCTGGGGGGGGGGGGGCCGCCGCCCCCCCCCCGCTCGCCGCCCGAGGGCCCCCCGCCGCCCGAGGGGGGGGCTCGCCGCCTGCGGGCTCTCGCCGGCGGGCCCCCCCGCCTGCTGCGCGCCAGGCGGCGGGGGCGGCCCGTGCGCTCGGGGCGCGGCCCCCTTCCGCGCCGCAAGAGCGCCTCGGAAGCGGAGGAGCGAAGAGGCAAGAGACACGGATCTGCCCTGGGGTCGGGGGCCCGTTTGGGCCTCCGGGGGGGGGGGGTCCTTGGAGGGCTCGCCCCCCGAAAGCCGCGCACCGCGTGTCGCGCTCGCCTCGGGCCACTCTGGCGAGCAGCCGCGCGAAACGCCCACCGGGCCGAGCCCCTCGCCAGGCCCACCCGCACGAGTCGCCACCCACGAAGCGCCGCCGGGCGCCGACCAGGCGGGATCCCGGCAGAGAGATAAGCAAGCATTCTTATAGTGCAAGCGCAGTTTGGGAAAAGCAGTGTCCTGTTGGAAGCCCAGGAGGTCCATGGCCCGGTTCTGTTTGGGCATTCTCCCTCGTTCCAGTCTCCGAATCAGGAGTACGTCAGTCTAAACACGTCATCCGCCTCAGGAGGTGCTGTCTTTGCTCGTGCCGGTTCTTTTCAAGAAGCCGAGCGTGTTCGCTGCAGCATGTGGCCCAAACTTCGGACAGCGTGTGCATGGAAACTGGCCTGGGGTCTCCGCGCAGCGGATTCGCGCGATTGTGTGACAATGTGATGCCAGGGCGCGCTTTTCTCCGCCTTTTGTCTGGGCGGCCTTTGCCCTCGGCGGCCTTTGCCCTCCACAGTAGGGTTTATCGGAACCGTCGTCAGTCTCCGGATGCGTCACGGGGCGGCAGAAACAAAAACACGTGTTCTCTTTCCCTGTGCGGAGCCAGCCTGTCTCTTCTTCCTCCCCCTCCTCCGTCGTTGCACAACTTTTTCACCCCCCCCGTCTGGGAGCGCGCAGGCCGATCTACCACCCGCCGCCGATGGCCCAGGAGCCTCCGGTCGAGGCCCCCGGTTCCAGCTGTGAGGGTGGGATGGGCCAGCTGGGACTCACTGCCGCCTGGTCTGTTCCTGTCCGCTCGCCGGTTTCCCCCTCGATGGATGAAACCGTTGTTAGTCTTTGGATCCACAGCGGTGCCAGAGTATCTTTCACAATAGTACGTTCGTTGATTTCGGGGCACATGCTGGGCAACACTCCGAGAGTTGCGGGAACGTTTTCCGGATGATGAAGCAGCGCGACAGTGATGGGAGTGATGATTTCGACGTGAATTCCACTAGAATCAGGTGTTTTGCAGCATTTGTCCGTTCAAGGGTTCAACTCGGCCGGACCATTTACAAAGTCTTCAAACTCTTGAGATTGATATTTGTGTTTATAAATGAATCGGTGGAGTAGAGTGTGTGCATCGGCATGCGTGCGTTCAGCGAGCCTCGACTCTGCAAGGTGCAATGATCAAAATCTGTTGCAAACACATCCCTGCATATCTTTGGACAGGCGTGTCATGACTGATGTTGGCGTCGGACTACAGCCTGGCATTGCTGTTCTTTGTTTTTCGAAGATTTTGTGGCCGTCTTTACCATCATGCCCAGCCAGGTCTAGTTCACGCACAGCCAGGTTTCAGAATCTGCTTATAATGAACGGTGCCACCTCTGATACGCATGAGCTCAAGGAAGGCGAGGCCGCAGTTTCAACGATATCACCCACTGCTCCCCTCTCTCCTCGTCCCTTTTCCGCTTGCCCCCGCCCCCCTCCTCCCCCCAGGCCTGTCCTCGAGAGTGCGTTCTGACCAGAATTTCGTCGAAGCTGACAGAGCCTTGGCAGCGAGGACGCTGCGCAGCAGGCCCGAGAAGACCCAGGAACGGTGCAAAGCATCGATCCTCGGTCCCACTCCCCTTCCTGCTCCTCGCCTCCCTCAGCGCGCGGGCCCCCGGGGCTCCGCTCGCTCTTTCTCTCTCTCTCTCTCTCCGGGGCACCCGCCCTCTCGCCCTCCTCTTCCGAGCCCCCCCTCCTCCTTCCAGTTCCCCGTGCTGCTGAGCCGGAGACAGCTGGAGGCCCCGCCAGAGGACGCGCTCCGAGCGTCCGCCGGAGGGAAGCAAGGAGGAGGAGGAGGATGGCGAGGAGGAGGAGGAGGAGGAGCAGGAGGAGGATGAGGAGGAGGAGGAGGAGGAGGAGGAGGAGGAGGAGGAGGAGCAGGAGGAGGACGAGGAGCAGGAGGAGGAGCGACGATGTCGAGGAGGGGGGGCAGCCAAGGCGGGGCGATACTGAGGAGAGGAGAGGAGGAGGAGGAGAGGAGGAGGAGAGGAGAGGAGGAGGAGGAGCAGGAGGAGGATGTCGAGGAGGGGGGGGCCAGCAAGGCGTGGCGATACTGAGAGGAGGAAGAGGAGGTGGAGGGGGGAGGAGGAGGAGGAGGAGGAGGAGGAGGAGGAGGAGGAGGAGGGAGGAGGGGAGGAGGAGAGAGGGAGAGGAAAGAAGGAGGAGCAGGAGGAGGATGAGGATGAGGAGCGACGATGTCGAGGAGGGGGGGAGGCAAGGAGTGGCGATACTGAGGAGGAGCAGGAAGAGGAGGAGGAGGAGGAGGAGGAGGCGGAGGAGGAGGAGGAGGAGCGTCGATGCCGAGGACGGGGAGGCGGAGGAGCAACGAAGGAGGGGATGACCCCTCCGCCTGCGTCTCCTCGTGCCGCTTTTGGGCTCGCCTCGCTCATGCCGTGATGCTGAGCGACGGGCTCGGGAACTGCGAATTTCATCCGTGGGTCACGATGTGATCTCATATCCGACTCGGTGAAGACGTCGGAGTGCTACCAGTTTGAAACATATTTCCCTACCTAGGCTCTGTCTAGAAGGGTTCTTACTCTCTGGGCTTAAAGGGGCCGGGCAGTGGAAAGCGCCCCGGGCGGTTCCCCCAGTATCCGCCCCACGGTTCCCCCAGTTACGTCCCCTTAGCTTAGCGTCGCTTATATCATCTTAGCTTAGCTTATTTCATCTTAGCTTAGCTTAGCTTCATCTTAGCTCAGGTTTATCTTAGCTTAGCTTGCCTTCATCTTAGCTTCGCTGAGCTTTAGCATAGCAGAGCACATCATAGCATATCATAGCGTAGCATGGGTGTAATTCCCCTACCTAGGCTCTGCCTAGAAGGTTAGCTTAGCTTAGCTTAGCATAGCGCAGCGCTGCATTAGCATACCATAGCATAGCACAATACAGCCAATCATATCATATCATATCATAGCGCAGCATACCATAGCATATCATAGCTTAGCATAGCACAGCACATCATGGCATATCATACCAAATCATACCATATTAGATCATATCATATCATAGCGTAGCATAGCGCAGCATATCATATCGTAGCATAGCATAACATAGCATAGCGCAGCATTGCATGGCATAGCATAGCATAGCATAGCAACTAATGCTGCTTTCCTAGGGGCTCCAACTTCTAGGTAGGGTCGCACTGGGGTAATTCTACTCCTATGTTGGGCATCACCTTACCCTCGATGTCGATCTCAATGCTTCCCTCAGCTTCTGAGGGCACATCCCCAAGATTGCCATTGGGCCTGCCCGCCTCAGGGATGTGGATACGTTCCAGTCTGGCCAGTGTGGGGCGGGCGTGGGGCGGGTGGGAATGCAGCCGTGCTGCCGGCGCGGGCCAGCCTGCCCTGCCCCCCTCCCCCCTGTCCTATCTCCTATCCTCCCCCGCCCCCCCATAATCCCCGCCTCCCCCGCTCGTCTTCCCCCTCCCTGGCTCCTACAGGCGGGGAGTCCTGCATGACCACCGCCTCGAGGGCCGATCTTCGGAGACCTCGGCTTTTTTTTCGTCGGCGGCTAGGCAGAGTAGCTGCGCTGGCGAAGAGCCACCTAAACGGGGGCGCCGTTGCAGGGACTCGTGCCACCGTGCAGGAGGAGGTCGCAGACCTCGACGGGCGGCGGGCATGGACATGCCCGGGCCCCGGGGGCCAACGCAGGCCCACCGCCCGCTGGGGCACCACCAGGACGTCGGCTCCCGGGCGGCGGAGGGGGGACGGCACTCCCCGCCTCGCACCGGCACTGCCGGGCCTCCGGCCGCCGCATGGCTTATTTGCTGTGGCAGGGCGTGGGCCGCGCCGTGGGCGCCCATAGGGCGCCCAGGCCACGGGGCCAGACGCCCGCCGCGCTTCTCCGCTGCGCCTGGGGCTCCAGATGCTGGGGATCAGCGTCGACCCCGGGCCTATCCCTCTGGAGCTCTCTTCGAGTAGGTCGGAGGTTGATAGACCTCCTACCCTGACACGTCGATTAGCGAATTGACCGTTTTCGGTTCGCGGGAGGGCGTCGCGGACGTCATTTTTGCGGGTCCAGGTCCGTCGGTTTGGGTCCTAAACCATTTTCCCTAAAAGGACGTTTACTACAGGGAGGTTTGTCCACCGCCGAGTAGGGGATCGACGAAAGAATGGATGATCCCCCAAATGGGGTCTACGGAACGTGCGTGGGATGCTCCACGGATTTACGGAGCAAATTGCGCATTGTTTGTCGCTACGAGCTGGCGGAGAGCCCATTTTTGGGGGGCGCAAACAATTATGTGGTCGGCCTCCTATTCTCGAGTTCTGGGTCCTGGGATTATGTTGCTCCGATCGTACTTAAGGACCACATCCCAGAAATAATTTCGAGCACCCAGAAAAGTATAGAAAAATGTCGAACGAGTATCGCCTCCCAAGGCCCGACAAGTGAACACCCTCCAGTTTCGGTACTTTCTTTGTGCTCGAATTTCTTTCTGGCGATCAAGGCTAAAGCAGGTTGGAACATCAGAAAGAGCGCGTTCTGTGGTCGCTTGGAGGGGCTGGGGGTTTGGAACCGCCCCCCCCCCCCCCTGGATGGAGGGGGGAGTGGGGTTCGACCCACCCCCACCCTCCCGAGACGGAAGGTGGGGGGGGGAGTTCGAGCCCCCCCCCCCTTCCCTTACTTATCCTCTCTCCCTCTCCTCGGCTGGCGGCGGCGGCGGCGGGGACGACGATTCCTTTTCTGGGCCGGCGCCAGCGCCTGCGGCAGCGGGCGGCGGCGGCGGGGAGCGGTCGACGAGGTCGGTGTTGGTGGTGGTGGTGGTGGGTTGTTGTGGTGGCGGTGGCGGTGGTGGTGGTGGCGGTGGTGGTTTGTTGTGGTGGTGGTGGTGTGGTGGTTTGTTGTGGTGGTGGTGGTGGTGGTGGTGGTGGTGCGTGGTGGTGGTGGTGGTGGTGTGTTTGTGGTGTGGGTGTGGTTTGTGGTGGTGGTGGTGGTGGTGGATTGTGTTGGTGGTGGTGGTGGTAGTTTGTTGGTGGTGTGGTTGTGGTTTGTGCTGGTTGTGGTGGTGGTTGTGGCGGATTGTGGTGGTGGCGGTGGTTTGTGGAGGTGGTGCTGGTGGTGGTGGTGGTGGCGGTGGTGGTGGTGGTGTGCTGGTTTGTGGTAGTGGTGGTGGTGGTGGTGGTGGTGGTGGTGGTGGGTTGTGCTGCTGGTAGTGGTGGCGGTTGTGGCGGTGGTGGTGTTGGCGGCGTGGTAGATTGTGGTGGTGGTGGTGGTGGTGGTAGTGGTGGAAGGTTTTTGTGTAGGTGGTGGTGATGGTGCGTTGTGGTGGTGGTGGTGGTTGTGGTGGTGGTGGCTGTGGTGGTGGTGGTGGTTGTGTGGTGGGTTGGTGGTGGTGGTGGTGGGTTGAGGCGGTGGTGGTGGTGGTAGTGGTGGTGGTGGTGGTAGTGGTGGTTATCGTCGCTGCGTCCCCGCCGTCGCCGGCGCCAGCGCCGGCGCTGCTGGCCGCCGCCAGCGCTTGCACTGGCGCCAGGGGGGGGGGGTTCAAATCCCCTCCTGGGCCTCCTCCTGGGCCGCGCCCTCGGACCCGCGGAGCCTCGGGCCGCGCCCGGCACCGTGGCCGCGAGGGCGCCGCCCGGAGAGCCCCCCCCCTCCGAAAGAGAGGGTGGCGGGCAAGCCATGAGGCATCTGCACCTCTCGCAGCCTGCCCCCTCCTCTTAAGTCGGGCCTGTCCCTCTACCGGGGGGACATTCACAAGTAGCTTAAGAAATGGTATGGGGACGATTGTTTGGGTATTTGTTCGACCATGTTTGCTTGATGATGTTTGATTTTGCCTCCAAAATCGGCCTGCTGGGGGACATGCCCGACCTAACCCTCCCCTCCTTCGAGTTGGCCCAAAGAGGGGTCCATCGACAAGGGGGTGGAGCAATAGATTTGGTGCCATCGACTTGTGGGGCTGCAGTAGATTTGGGGCGTGCCATACATTCCGGGGCGCCGATGAATTGCTGGATTTTCGCATGCAATGCATTCGTCGCAATACAATTCAATCCAAGTCTCCGGCGCAATACATTTGCAACCACCCCCTTTCAGCTGGACCCCCTTTTGGGTCGACCAAAGACTCCCCCCTCCCCTCCTCCTGCAAGTGTTAAGTCGGGCATGTCCCTCTACAGGAGGATGGTCAAACATCAATACGGGTACGTTTTGTTTGTACTTTTGGGCATTTTCGTATGTTCTGACTGCTTTTGATGTTTCGTCTAAAATCCGCCTGTAGGGGGACACGCCCGACCTAATGCAAGTGCCTCCCCGAGGTCCACAGTCTCGAACAGGGGATCGACCACGGAACTGACTTACCCCAGACTTGTGTTCTCCGTCGGGACCACGAGAACACGCAGAATGCTCCGTAGCATCTACGGAGCACTCAGCGTGTTTTTTGTAGATTCGTAGTTCGGGGAGCATCCATTATGTAGTCAATCCCATATTCGACAGTTGACTCCTTCCTCGCCCGATCTGGTCAAAGCCATGCCTCGGCTCAGGCTGTCTGGGGGTGGCGTTCACCCGCCCGCCCGCCGCCAGTTCAGTTGCGGGGGTGGTACTGCAGTCGCACGAGCGCGCCAATGGAAATCAGCGATTGAGATGGAGCAGGAGTGGGGCAGCGGACAATCATCCCCGTGGGTCCCGATGTACATTTGAGACGGGAAGGCCCACATGGCTGGTTCGAGCTTCTGACGCAGGAGCAGGCTTTGGCGACGAGTACGTAACGCACCACCAGGGCCCCGCGGTGCCAATCGCCGCGGCTCCGCGCTGGGCCGGGCTTCTGCCCGTTCGAGGGTGTCTGTCTGGTCTGCCTGCCCTCCTGTCCCCAGCCCCTCCTCCCCTCTCCCCCGTCCTCCCCCTCCTCTTCCCAGGTACATCAAGTTGCCACCGGTACGCGCTCGTGTACTTCCTCCTTCTCTCCTCCCCTCCCCCTCCTCTCCCTCCTCCCCCAGATTCCCCCCTCATTCCCCTCTCCTCCTCGTTCCCCCCTCATCCGTGTCCCATCTCCCCCTCCTCCCCCTTCTCCTCCTTCCTCGTCTTTCTCGTGCCTCGGAGGGGGAGGGGGGGGAGGGGGGGAATCAGGGGGAGGAGTGGGAGGAGGAGCAGATGTCAATATGACCAAGTTAGTGAAGGAGGGGGAGGATGAGAAGGAGGGGTGGGAGGAAGAGGGGAGTCTGCTCCCCTCCTCGCCTCCCCGAGGACGGGCCCGCGGACGCCGCGGGCGCCGCCGCCATGGACGAGTGCAAGGCCCGCGTGTCTGGGGTGGCCTGCGCAGCCTCCCCGACGGCACAGAGGCCGACGGCGACGACGATGACGACAACGAGATCGACGGCCACGGCCACGGCCACGGGCCACGGGGCACGGCCACGGCGACGTCCACGGCCACGGGTCACGGCCTCGGCAACGGCCATGGCCGCGGCCACGGACCACGGCCATGGTACGGCCACGGCGACGGCGTTGGCGTTGGCTTTGGCGACGGCCAGGACGACGAGATCGCCGACGACGACGTCGACGATGACGGGGATATAGATTTCTGGATTCTCTGGTGTGGGGCCGGAGGCCTCCGCAGGCTGCCCCTGCCCCTTGAATCGAAGCAGGAGCTGTTTGGAGCATGTTTTCTGAATCACTTCAGCTCTTACCTGGAGGCCGTTCCGGGGGGCGCGGCATCTGTCACAGGCCTCCAGGGCGTGCCGCTTCCGGGGGCACCTCTCAGAGGGACGCGTCGCAGCCCTTTGCGTCTGTGCCTGCTGCTGCTGAACTTTCTCCTGCCTGGGCGTTGGCGGGCACCGCGGGGACAAGTGCTCAGCGGCTGGTCCTGCTCGGGAGTACGCAGGGATCCAACACTGGAACGAGTAGGTCTCGCAGAGCAATGCTTCGCAGGGTGCCACGATCTCGGGGTATACCAACAAACACTCTCTCTGCATGTTCATGCCAGTCACGGAGCCTTCATGGGATGCAGAACGAATTTCTGCTCGTGCCCCTGATCCTACTGCCTTCTGCTCCTCCCGCTTCTGCCACCTACACAGACGAGCAACGAGTAACGGTGATGATACGTTCCATACTCTCCCGGATGTTCTCGATTTCCTATTGTTACGCCCAGGCATTAGACACGAGGGCTGCTGGGTACTACTGAACTCCTGGAACGTATCCTCAGCCTATCATATCATGACATCATCCTCGTCCCACCCACGCTCACCCCGCCGCGGCGAGCGCCACCGGCCAGCGCATGTTTCCCCTCTGACCTTGCGGGGAGGAGCACAACTGCTTTCCAGATCATCGACCTATCTGATCGGCTGAACAGTTCGACCAGAATCTGGATGTAAAGTTCCTGGCGCTGTTGCGAAGGCCTTACCGCCTGTTCCGCCGACCCTGTTCGCTAGGACGAGAGAAAGAGGAGGAGGAGGACGCGGAGGCGGCGGAGGAGGAGGACGAGGAGGCGGAGGAGGAGGAGGAGGAGGGGGAGCACATGATCATGCTCAGGCTGAGGCTGAGGATGATGATGGTGATGATGATGATTATGATGATGCTGATGATGATGCTGATGCTGATGATGATGATGCTTATGCTGCTGCTGATGATGATGATGATCATGATCATGATCTTGATGCTGCTGCTGCTGATGATGATGATGCTGAGGCTGAGGCTGAGGCTGATGATGATGATTAACCTCGTGCTCCGGATAATAAAGATTACCCCTCCTTAACCCCTGAGTGGTGATTATCCCCGGTCAGACAGATTCAATGTATTTACGCCACATCCGCCGACCCCTGCATTAACTATTGCGCCTCCAGGACTGCATTTCACGAGGCTTGTCCGAATCATGACACGGCCCCGACATCGTTCCTGTTGCTTCGTTGATGTTATCGTACCTCATGGTGCTCTTTTGTTGCCTTTTGTTGGCATCTTGGCTTGTCTGCAGGACATCTCCAGCCGCCTCGAGGCATCTTGGGCCAAGTTTTGGGGCCTCTTGGGGGCTTCCTGGGGGCTTCTTGGAGGCCTTTGAGGTTCTCTTGGGGGTCCCTCAGGGCCTCTTGGGGTGCTGTTGGGGCAGGCTGGGGGCGTCTTGGGGCCGAAGGCTCGAAAAGGTGCCCTCTGGACTCCCTCTCGGAGCCGTCTGGGGGCCCTCTTGGGCTGTCTTAGGACCCTCGTGGGCTGTTTTTGGACCCTCTTCGTCCCCTCTTGGGGGCCCCTTCGGCCGTCCCGGGGCGATATTGAAGGTTTCTTTGCCCGTCTTGGACGTTGTGAAAGCCGAAAAGGCGAGCATGCGACAAATGTTTTTTCAATCCGGAAATGAGACGAATTTTGTTTCTTGGAACCCTCATTGGACGCATTTTGGGGGCCTTTTGGCACGTCTTGGTAGCTTCGGAGGCCGTCTGGAGGCCATCGTGGGCGTCAAGGAGCGATATTTCGGCGACTCGTGGCCCTCTGTCACCGTCTGGGGAGCGTTTTGGCGCCTTCTTGGCCCGTTTCGGAGCCCTCCGCTCCCCCGTGACGCGTTCGGTCCGGGGCCGGGCCGGGCCAGGGGGTGGGTGGGTCAAATTGCTGGTTTGGGGTCCCTGGGGGGGGGAATATGGGGGGGAGAATCTCACACGCCTAGAGACCGGGGTCGGCGGATTTGAATGTGGAGAGGGGTGGCGAGGCCGAACTTGATGATCGCGAGGAGAAGTTGCGAATCGAAATTGCTATCTTCTTATTTGACTAGCAGCATCATCAAAAACGCTGAGCATGGCATGGCAATGCGACAGGATCTAGTTACACGAGCGCCCAGGATCATCATCCACATCATCAGCATCATCATTATGACCATCATCATCATCATCATCATCATCATCATTATTATTATCATCATCATCCACATCATCATCATCGTCATCATCAGCATCCTCATCTTCATCTTCATTACCATCATTTTCCGCCATGAAAAGCGTTTGATCAGGCCCCGAACGTTATTACTCTCAGGGGTTAGTATCACGTGTATGGTTTATGATGATGATGATGATGATGATGATGATGATGATGATGATGATGATGATGATGCTGATGACGATGAGTGTGATAATGTTGTTGTTGATGATGATTATGCTGATGACGATGATGCTGATGATGCTGGTGCTGATGATGATGCTGGTGCTGCTGATGATGCTGATAATGATGCTGATGCTGATGCTGATGCTGATGATGACGAATGTAGTAGTGGTGGTGAACACGATGGTGGTGATGATGGTGATGATGCTGATGCTGATGTTGCTGCTGATGATGACGATGGTGATGTTGATGATGCAGATGATGATGGTGATGGTGACGACGATGATGATGGTGATGATGATGCTGATGGTGGTGGTGGTGGTTGTGGTGGTGATTTGGTGCTGATGCTGATGATGCATATTGCTATGATTACGATTATGATGATGACGCTGACGATGCTGATGATGATGATTCTGATGCTGAGGACGTCCATGAGGACTATATTGATGATGACGATGACGATGGCGATGCTGATGATGCTGATGCTGATGATTCTGATGCTGTAGTGATGTGATGATGCGTATGATGATGCTGATGATGACGATGAGGAGGGTGGGGACGAGGATGAGAAGGAGAATGGTTAAGAGAAGGATAAGGATGATCATGTCGACGAGGATGATGGTGATGAGGATGATAGAGAGGATAAGGATGCTGATTATGCTGATGATACTGATTATGATGATGATGTTGTGGTTATGCTAATGATGATGCTGGTGATGATGATCATGTTGGCGATTGTCAGGATGCCTCCGATTATGCTGATGATGATAACGATGATGGTGATGCTGGTGATGGTGATGATGATGATGCTGATGATTATGATGAAGATGATGACGATGACGATACTGATGATGCTGATGATGATGCTGATGCTGATGCTGATGCTGATGCTGATAATGATCATGCTCATGATGATGATGATGATGATGATGATGATGATGATGATGATGATGATGATGATGATGATGATGATGATGATGATGATGATGATGATGATGATGATGATGATGATGATGATGATGATGATGATGATGAGGAGGAGGAGGAGGAGGAGGAGGAGGAGGAGGAGGAGGAGGGGAAAGGGGAGGGGGAAGCGGGGGAAGGAAGAGAGAGAGAGACAGAGAGAGAGAGAGAGAGAGAACGAGAGAGAGAGAGAGAGAGAGCGAGAGAGAGGAGGACGGGGTTAAGGATGGTGTGTGGAAAGGTTGCGGGGGGCCTTCCTAGTCCGTGTCCGCGGCCTCGCGGGCCGTGCTCCTGAGCACGACCCCGCGGATACGGGGCGCTTTCTCGCGGATGCCTCGCGCGGAACGCATCCTTGCGACCGCGTATCCGCGGGATCGCGCCCCAGCATCCAGACTGTGCCGCGATGGCGCGCTGGCGACGCCGGCATTGTAGAACGACGCGGAAACACCGAGGGACACTGTGGCGCAACGCGACCCGACGGAATTCAACTTGGAATGATCGGGATCGCGATCGGCTCAGGGCTGAACGATCGACGCGGTGTCGAAAACCTTGGCGCGCGCCGACGCCGCGCGAGCTTACCGTACGTTTGCACCTCGTGGAGGTCAGGACCCCCGACAGCCCCCGCGCGCAGGTCGTGGAGGCCACGTGCCTCCGAGGCCGGGAGCTCCGGTGGCAGGCGCCCGGGCCGGACCCCGGGCCGCGCCGCGCGCGGGAGTCGAGCAGTGGCGAAGCGTCCCGGCTCGCCTGTATTTGAGTAGGGTCTGTCCCTCTACAGGAGGAATAGTCAAAAATAGTTAAAAAAACCTGGGCACGATTTTTTGACTATGTTTGCCATTTGGATTGTATTTATTGAGTATTTTTAATCTTTTGAGCAAAATCCCTCTGTAGGGGGACACGCCTGGCCTAAGCATATCTATAGGCCCACCAAAGAATGTTCTCAGAACCTTTTGGGTCTGCAAGAACTATTCTTAGAGCATTTCTGGCTCAGACGGAGCTGGTTTAAAACATCGGGCTCATTTTCTAAGAACATCGTGGTAGGCCCATAGGAATGCCGGGACGGCCAGTCCCTGCTCAAGGGAGCGGACCTGTGCGCGAGAGCCAGGCCAGAGGAGCCCTGGCATCCCAGGCCATTTCGCGTGGCGAAAAAATCACGACGCGAGGTTTCTCGCTATTTCGGGCCTCTGTGGACCCTTCCCAGGGCCTCGGGGCCGTCAAGAAACGATTCGGGAGGAAAAGCCGAAGCGCCCGTCTTGGGGAAGGTGTCCAGACGTCTATCGGGGTCGACGTTGTGCGACAAATCACGACGTCGGGGGTCTGGGTGCGCGAGAGCTGGGCCAGGAGCACAGCAGATACCGCGCGGGATGGAGCGCTCATCAGTCAGAGGAAGCGGGGGGCAAGAGGGAGGACGGCCGCGCACAGAGGGGGGCAGGGTGATTGGGGAAGGCTTCGTAGAAGCACCCCTGTTTCTCAGAAGGCGCGGGCCTTGTCTGTAGACGTGAGGCCGGCGCCTTCTACAAAGCAGAGTCTGTCCCAGAAGCCTTCCACCCTCTCCCTACCCCCTCGTGCGCGTCGCCAATCGGTTGGTGCGACCTCTTGGACGCTCGGCCGCCCTGATGTTGACCCACAGGTTCTTGGGCGCTCGTCGGCGCCTGAGGATTATTGGGTTGCAGCGGCGCGGTCTCGCGGGCGTTGGTCGGTGTGTCCTCGCGGGTCTCTTGGCCTTCGTCGGTGCGCCCGCTTGGCCGTCCGGCTACCTGCGCGTTCTCTCATGGGTTCGTTGGGTTCGGCCAGTTATCCTCTTGGGTTGCTCGGTCGTTTCGTCGGTTCTGGAGGGCTGTCTCGCCTCAGGACGGCTTCAGCGGCTGCGCCTCGTCGACAGCGTTCCCCCGGGTGCTCGGATGGTCCCAATCGGCCGCCGGAAGCCCGAGGGAAGCTTCGGCCGGACGAGGGCTGGCGAGAGCCGGGTCGGACGGGCCCTGGCATCTTCGCCTCGCGAAACGAAAATCGCGGCGGTTTTTTTTTGGTCGACAGCTTGTGGGACGCTCTCATCGCCACGGCAGGATCTCCCCTCTGGATTTCTGGCACCAGGTCTGAGGGTAAAAACGTTCGACCCCTGGGCCGTGATGTTCCTCACGTCGTGACGACGTCGTGGCGGGCGGGTCTCAGGCCGTCTGCGGCCTCTGCAGGGCCCCTCCAGGGCACCCAGGGGCCAGCAGGGAAGGGTTGGCGATGAGATGCCGGCCCCCGGGAAGGGGACAGGACCTCCTGGGGAGCCACGGGGTTCCCCCTCCTCCTCCTCCTCCTCTAAGTCCTCTAAGTCCTACCAAAACATAGTCCAGCAAAGCCAGCCGAACTAGCTTAACCTACTGCCTAGCAGGACCGACCTCGAAGTAGGGAGCCTATGCCTCCTCGACCTCGGGTCCCGACGAATTCCCCCCCTCGTCGGGCCCTTCGTTGGGCCCACCGCCGAACGGGGCACCGAAGAGGGGGAACGGGAGCCCCCAGAACCTGTTGGACTGGGGCTCCCGTCCAGACCTCAGTCGTCCCAACGCCGTTCTAGCCAGACGGCCCGCCGACCTAGGACGGGAGGTGAAGGGACGGCAGGGACGACCGAGGTCGTGGACCTGTCTTCTGGCATAGGCCCCACAGACTCTACAGAAGACGATCAGCCCCCTCCCATTAGCCTCATCGCCAGACCCCCGACCCCGATCCCCACGCACGACCCAGAGCTTATGGGAGGGGTGGGCGATCGCCGCGGGCCGAGGCATTCCTGGGCAGGGATACGAAACAATCCTAGATCGGAGCCCCTTCCGAACCCCGCAGAGTTTACATCCCCAGGCCCGTCCAAACCTCAAAAGCGAGTGCCCGCACTCGCCCGAAACTAGGACGACCGAATTTCGGGACGGCCTGGGGCGGGGGAGGGGGCTCCGATCGGGCCAGCCTAGGCCCGCCAACATTTTCAAGACCGCTCCGTGATGGACGGCGACCGATTCCGCGGCTCGTGTGGCCGCTCTCACCGTGCTCGCCCTCACCATCACGGCGTCGAACGATGGGTGCAGCTTGGCGCCCTCCTTGGCCTTGCCGTCCGCGCACTTGTTGCCGCGGTGCCAGGCCCAGGGCGTGCCTGCCAGCGCTGCCGCAGCCCAGCTGGTGTGGGCTCGGACCCACTGGAGGCTGAATGCCTCGGGCCCCAAGTCTCTGATGTGCCTCCAGGCCTCCTTCCACAGGTCGGCGTTGAGCGACCCTGGGCCCAGGCACCAGTCCTCTCCTCTCTCGTAGTCCTCCACCAGCCGCAGGTAGTCCGTGACCACGTCCAGCTGGGGGCCCTTCTCCATGAGCGCTCGCACCAGCGCGTAGAGCTCGGCGTAGCCGCTCTCCTGGACGGGCCCTGGGACGTACCCGAACATCCCGCCCGTGATGGTGCCGTCGGCCTCCACCATGATGCAGGACCACCCGCTCCTGGTGAGCTCCTTGACCTCTGGGACCATCGCCGAGCCGTCTATGCAGACGGTGCCGCAGGCCAGCCCCCCGATGAGGGCTCCTCCTCGGCGGCAGACCTCCTGCTCCGCAGGCCTCGGGGCCCGCTCCAGGCCGAGGCTGACCAGGCACCTGACGAGCCCGATGTCGCCGTCTGGGGCTGCCGCGCCTGCACTCCTGACCTGCTCCAGGTCCATGGCCGCCGCGACGCCACTGGTGCCGTCGCAGCAGAACAGGCGGTGCTTCTGCGTCCCTGGCTCCGCGCCGCACAGCCTGCACTCAGGGCTAAGCACTGCCCGTTCGCGATACAGGTCAGCTTCCGTCACCAGGCCGCCGCAGACCAGCGCCTCGAACAGCGCCACCTGCTCGCTGTCGCCCTGCCTGCGTAGCGCCGCGACCGCCTGCTGGGTGACCTGGATGGTCGGCGGCCCACCGAGCGCTCCTCCCAGGTGCTCGCTGTGCAGTCTCATCATCAGCGAGCGCTGGATCCCCGCCTCGATGAACTGCCGCATCCTCCTGGGGCTGTAGACCTTCAGGTCGAGCTGCTCCCCAGCGTCCGTGACCCAGCATCGCCAGCCAGACGCCGCGGCAGGTTCCCACCCTATCCTACGGAGGGTGAGTTTGACTGCGTCGGCTGGCCCTCGCACCTGGCCCCAGGACTCTGGCTGCGCCGCACTGAAGGCCTTCTCGAGGCTCCCGTCGCTGCGCAGGCCAAGGTAGACCGCCTTGGCCCACGCCTCCAGTGGTAGGCCGTTGGCCGCGAAGACGGGGTCCGCCTTCCAGCCCTGGTCTGGCTGCAGTGCGAACTGCAGCGTTCTGCTCTTGCTGCCCGCGGCCCCCGCCAGCGCCTGGCCGTTGACCGCCCTGGCCTTCTCAAGCATCGCCGTCGGAACGCCGACGACCCGAGCTCCGTGGAGGACCGAGGCCAGGCCGCCACTCCTGAAGACCCTGCCCAGCTTGACTCCTGCCCGCCTGAGCGCCATGTATCGTGACGAGCGGACGGCCAGCCTGGCCATGCGGCTCCTCAGCACCGACCACGACGCCCTGGGCTTCATGCCGAAGTCGACGCCCAGGTTCTTGACCGCCCGCCGCAGCCTGAAGTCCCAGCGCCGCAGGCGGTGGGCCGTGCGCCGTCCTGCGCTCTCGTCGCTGCTCACAATGTTGCCCTTTGTCAGGGACACCTTGAGCCCCGGCGCCTCTAGCCTCTGGCAGAGGTCCCTGGTCGCACCGAAGGCCGTGAACTCCACATCCTTGAGCTTCCCACAGACGGCCAGCGTGATGTCGTCGACGACCACGTAGGCCCGCAGCGACATCCACTGGGTCACGACCGCGTCAATCGCGGCGAGGAGCACGACCCTCAGGAGCGTCGTGGCGTACCCGCAGCCCGCCACGGTCGAGCTCCCGACCCTGATCGCGTCCGTCTTCCAGCGGCTGAGGCAGAGCATCCTCGGGCCGCCGTAGCTGCAGAGGACCAGCTTCAGCCTGCGCAGCCTGAAGCCGTGGCGGCGAGCAGCAGCGACCAGCCTCTCGTGAGTGACCCGCTCGTAGGCCTTCGAGAGGTCCGTCATGGTCGACATGGAGTGCTTCTCCATCGCCGCCGCCACGCTGGCATCGTGGGCCTGGAGCCAGACCGCGTCCTCGCAGGACTTCCCCGCCCCTCCGAAGAAGTAGTCCCGCCTGTGCGCCGACTCCCATTCGACCGCGTCGATCCTGCGCAGCTTCCCCAGCAACCGTATGAGGCTGCAGAGAAGCCCAATCGGCCTCCAGCCTCCGTCGGGCTTCGCCAGGAAGAACACCAGCAGGGTGTTCACCTGCTCGGGCATTCGGCAAGATGCCTCCAGCACGAGCAGCAGCAGCCCGAGCGCTTCCAATCCTCCGTCGCTGAGGTGGCCGAAAGCTTGGGGCTTGATGGCGTCCACCCCTAGGGCCGTGGACGGCTTGAAGGACCGCGCCGCCTTGCGGATCTCCTCCGCCGTAGGCGCCTGCCCTGGCCCCTCCAGGTGAGCCTCTGGCAGCGCCTCGTCAAGGTCCATCGGCTGGATCTCGCCGTGCTGCCAGATGTCCTGGTACTCTTCCAGCAGGCTGTCGAGGGTGGCCGCTATTCCTGCAGGCCCGTTGTCGCCGTCCTGGTCGGCTGTCCAGCCCTGCGGCGCTCGGCAGAAGGCGCGGGCGGCCCCTCCGCCGTCTCTCGCAGCCTCC